TCCGTTGACGCGCTTTTCGAGGTCAAGTTGGAAAAGCGTCATGGAAAATTCACCCCAAAGGTAGCAGAGATTCGAATAAGGAAAACAGGCTCGGAAAGTTTTCATTTCTATTCAGAGATATTAAAATGAAATTTTCTCAAAATTAATCACATAGATAATTTTGAAACAAAGAAATAAGTTTATTTACTTTTTAAAGCATTACCAAAAAGTTTAGTTAGAGCTATAGAAGAAATATATATAATATGCAATAATTTATAATAACATCTTTAAACTACATTTAACTATTTGACTATCACAATGCCATATCGGTTAATGTACACCTAAAATGGCGCACAAATAGTAAAACAAATATATTTATCTTTCGTCTCGAACACTGCTGTTAAACATGTCCAGCAAATCGTACTTCATAGGTCGCTAAAACAAAATAAACGTTTGCACTTGACAAGTATATATTTATTCTCTGTAATCAAACAAAAAACATTGCGATTATTACATAATCAACGACACTTGAGACAGTCCAGCACAGAACAAAGAAAGAATCAGAATGTAAGTCAACATTCAATAATAAATTACAAATATATTATTTTAATGTAGATTTCATCATATATACATTTGCATTTATTATATAAGAATGTGAACGTTTACCTTTCCTATGGAGAGTATAATCGAATTAACCCTTATCTTAAAAAATATTTTTTCTATGAGCAATATTTAAATTTGTATATATTAAGGCGTATTTTGAAATAATAAATTAGTAATACCGAATTATATTTTTAGTATATAATAATGAGATAGGGGAATTTTATTTAATAGAGTAATTAAAAAATTATAAATGTTTATGACGCTAGATATTTTATGAACCCACTTGATTTAATGGCGTGGACTTTCATCGTCTGTTACAGGCCAGTTTATCTTCTAATTCAAGTGTATTTCCCAGAAAATTATTTTCCTAAATGACCTATACCAAGATTAGAAAAAATAGTAAACAAAAGCAGTCTGGAAAATGTTATTTACTGGCCCTTTAAATACCCTTTAATCTGTGAATTCTGTTCTTAAGTTTGTGCATTTCAGGATAATAATTATATATTATAGGGCTAATCTAAATTAATTCGGGAATCCCATTATAAACCTATTCAAAAAAAAGTTATTTTTAAAATTTCTACATCTGGATGATTACAAAGTTTTAAAATGGCTAGAAATAGGATCCCTTTCACCCAAAATCGCTTATCTCTCCTATCGATTCTTGTAAATACAGAGTGTAGCCCTAGTTGGCTAGTTCCCATTTTAATGGGTAACTTTTACTGTAAGAATTATATACTGTGACAATAACAACTACAATTACAGCAGCGGCACAATTGCCGCGAGCACGTTGCCAAGAAACAACAAAAACCATTGGTGAATTGTAATCAATGCATTGTGCAAAAAAATACTTGTGAAGATTTGCATTTTTTTCTATTGGGATTTCGCCCCCTGCAAGCCACACACATAAATGGTGTAATGGAAAAAAATAATATTTTGATTGCAAGCGAGCTAGACCAATATCAGCATAGTGAAACTTCGTTAAAAAGAACTAGAATTTCATTTAGAATACCACAAAAGTGCTTATCTCGACGTTATTATATACTGCTGCAATATGTATTACGTATACGCGATATTACGTATACATAATATTACGCATACGCAAGCATATTTTTAGAAAGAAGCGTGGATAACATATTTGTAAGTTTCTGATTGTGGCTATTCTAATTGTACTGGCATTTTATTTTAAAAATAAATGGTTTTTAAAAAAATGTTCTATAAATTACAACAATGGTTTGAGAAAATTACAATACTAAAAATAATATAAAACTAAATATTCAATGTACTTGCATTTCCAATTCTTTATTGTACTGATGGTTTGATAAGAAAGTCTTTTCAAAAAATTAAAGTAGCTCATATTTTATTTTAAACTAATGTGAAAACTGATCAGCATTTATTTATAATTAATCAGAAAAGTGAGAACTAGTTCGAAATTACTTTAAAGCCAAGTCCTTATTTTCCACTTCTTTTATTACTTATGTTATGAGACAACTTGGCCAAGGACCACTGTAGCATCTTGGCAATGCTGGAAACAAACGCAATAAGTGGAAAACACGTCAATTTCCATTTGGTTTGCGTAGCCGACTCAAGTCGCCAACATGTGAGCCGTCGCAGGCCGGCTGTTCGGGAGCGTTGCACTAGCCACCAGCTGCCTCACATTCCGCGACACGTGACCGCTCCGCCGACTCGATTCTCGAACGTCGATTGCCGGGCGTCCAGCGGCGAACTTTTACGCCGTCGAGTCAGCAGCGCGCACGCCACGCCTCTGGGCTACGAGAATATAAATAGCGTTGCTATAACTTGACTGCTGATGCACTGAGGTGGGGTTTTCTAAGGGGGTTGCCATTGGCAAGGGGTCCAGGGTGTCGACCAAATGTTTCGTAACCGTTTGTGGCTTTCTGCTGCCCTTATCCGCCCCCCTCCCCAGCGACTGATTACCGTCTAGTTCCCCAATGCACCAGTATGAGTATGACCGAACCAACCATAGATGAGTGTTCGTACACAGACCTTGATAAGGGCCCCACTATATGTATTTGCATACTGATAGCGGAGATTATGGGGTTTGGCTATGGCTTGGGGTATCCCAAAGGGGATGGTCGGGGGTCTGAGCCCTTGCCAGCGGATGTGACTACGATTGGTTGGGACACGTGAATGGGGCGGCTCACGTGGATATCGCGTAGTGATCGCGTAATTGGGATTTGCTCATGATCAACAGCAATCAGGGGCTGTAAACTGTGAACTGGAAGCTGGGCGGCGGATCTATATTGCAAAGTGGATAACCAGATCGCACCAGCTCCATGGGGTCCAAGTGTCGGCATTAATTAAGAATTTGTGATTTCTTACGGGGATAGGTCAGTTATAAATCTCTATCAAAGCACTGATTGTTTTCTGCCTAAATAAACTAATAAATGTTTATTATTTAAATTATTTATCAGACATTTATATTTAAGACAAATCAGTTCTTAATTGGTTTACCTTAAAAATACAAATATATTTTTATAAATAAAGTGCTAATTAATGACATATTTTTATGAAAGAAATAAACTGCATAAGAGTTATAATTTCAAAAATTGTTTTTCTGCCATGGGGTAAAAAGTAGTATATCTCTTATCGAATTAAGTAATTTGTAACAATAACGCGTACTTATTTACTATTGTGGATGTATTTTTCCTTATCTAAATATATATTATAATTCCAATGAATGCTCGACTTAAGCAATGGAAATGCATCATTAAATTCCAGAAGTTAACATAACAAACACAAAACGCAGTGATAAAAATGTTCCTGCTCTAATAATAGCCTATAAAAATCATGAAAAGATAAAGTATAATGTTGCACTTTATCAGCCTTTAGTTCTTTTAATTTCTCTGGTTTTCATAGGGCACTATTATTGTACTGCGGTTGTAAATGGCATTTTGTAATCACTTTTCAGAACTTCTTAATGCCTATTCAATAGAATTCATTGTTTCATTGGATTCATTGTTTGTTCCTCATTTTTGTTTTAGTGCCTGGTGACCAGAAACTTGCATAATCCGATATTTTCCTCACTTTTTACCCCTTGTTTGCCAAGAATTGTCGGTGTTTATGTATAAAGCTGTTCTGTGGTCGTTGTTTCTTTGTTTTTAACTGCAACTAAGTTGCTTGTGTCCGTGGATCTCCCCCTTCCATTTTGATAACCGTATCGCAGCGTTAAGTGGTTAATGATGATTTATATAAGCGGTAGAGTCGTTTTGTAATGGCTCACCAGACAGTTTGGTGGCTAAAAAGATATCGGCGTGACCATACATTTACCCTGTCTAGGTATTCAAAGTTTCAAAGCCACGTGATCTATAGATCAGCCCGATGGGTTTTCTAAGTTCAAACTAATTAATAAGATTTCTTAATTATATGCCGGTTTGTCTACTTAAGTTCAATGGTTAGTACTTTGTATAGGTACTGTTTATTAATCAAACAAAAAGTGTTTAGTCTGTTCGGAAAAATTTCCATATCTGAAAATGTGCGCAAATTGGCCTTGTGGTATTTCGGGACTTGTAAAATTTTAACAGTACAAGTTAGAAGATTAAAATATTTTTAAATATTAAAAAGAATCTGTTTTTACATACTAATACATCTTTAATTAAAAAAATGTTTAGTTTAGTTTAATTAAACAATCTTTTATAATTAATAATTATTTATTAATATTATAAAAATTATATGTTTCTCAACATAATGCTTTCATAATCAAATTTTGCTATTATGCTACATATATTAATAAGTAATCAAAACGTTCTTTCTTGAAAATTTTTCAAAAACCTACAATTTCTGAAGGTAAAGTCTTTTAAAACACAAAATAAAAATGTATTACCTAAGCATTTTTTAATTTCAGTTCCCCAAACTCCTCAGCCATTTGCATTTGTGTATGTAAATGCATTCTCGATTAATAATAATGTGCTGGTTTCTCTGAATATTTTGTGTAAGACGCTTGCGTCATCAAGCCAACTGGTACTGAGAATCGCAATCAGAATGGGAATAAGAATCGGAATCGAAATCAGACTCACGCGGCCAAAGCACCTCAGTCGCCTTACGTGTGTGTGTGTCTGTGAGTGTTTGAGCGTCAAGAGCGTCGCCCGCCGCCCCCTGAGACCTCCACCCCTTCCATCATCCCAACAGGCAATCACGTTCTAGTTTCAAATGTGCAGCTCAAACGATTTTTTTTTAGATTGCCCGCTGATTACTCAACAACGGCAATGTGATCGCTTGCAACTAGAATGTTTGAAGGTTCGAAGTTGTGGCCAGGGAAATTTCACTTTTACTATAGGCGGCCCCATCGAGCATGTTCGAGGCAACAAGTTCGGTCGCGTGTATCGGATGCGTGTAGCCACAACGTGACCATCGAGCAGCTCGGCGGAGAAATGCTTTTACAAATTCAATTGCGATTCAGCCTTCTTTCGAAGCGGTTCAGGCGCTCGCGATAAGTCTCTATATATATTTCAATACAAATATATAGCCGATCCACACACACAGCCCATTCGATCCGCGATAAGTGAGAGCCGTTGAGCCGTTAAAAGCATTTCGGCCAAGTGCAGCAACCGCAGAAACGTCGCGTTAGCCAACTAAATCACAGTACCCACAAAAAGTGTTTGAAAAACAATTTTCAAAAAACAATTAAATAATTTTGCAAACAAAAAATATATAAACAATGCCAAAATTGTTTTGAACCCAAAAACATTATGTCGATTGTATGCACGCTGGAACAGAAAGTGAACTTTTTCAAAGCGGCTGCAACGACCAAAAATCTACTGATACTTAAAAACAATACGGATACCAATTACAGCAACAACTATAAGCAGGATAACCCCAGCAACAACAAATGTAGGTGTCAAGTGCCAAACAAAAAGCAAGAGTTGAAAATACGAAAAAAATTGATATAATTCTATAATTTCTGATGACATTTTGGATAACAAATTTTGAATAAATACTTTTGAACATTTTAAATTGATGAATAGCTGTAAAATATAAAAGTCCCATAAAAACATACAAACGTAGGATATAAACCGAAATTTGTATATTCCCATGAAAAATGTTAGTCATAGGAAAAACATTCTTAGTTATATATCGAGCTTATTTTTTTATTTTTCTGTGTAGTAAAATAACAACAATTAATCAGTTAATTGCCTAAATTTAATCGGAACGATTAAAACTAAAATCTTAAAAGATACAGTGACAAACTTAATTATTGGCACAGCAAGCATGTTAAACTTTGAGGCTATTTTTCTTCTTATAATATGCTGATATTAAAATAAAACAAAATATTTTTAGATAGAATCATTAATTTTATGTTAAATACAAGTGACTTCATTAATTTTTCTTTTATAAATAATTTATTAAAAATAAAAAACCAAAGAATGGACCAAATTTGCCTGAACAAAATTATTGGCACACTTGGGTTTTAATTAACTATTTTGTTAAAACTTTATCGATTTGGCCACTTTTTTTTAATTATCACATTTTCCTCTATAATCTTAATGGAGTAATGATTAATTTTATAGCTAAAATTGTTTTAGTGCCTTAAAATAAAGGAAAAGATGTTTGACTTTACAAGGTAAAAATAAAATCAACCGCATGTGTCCAAAAATTAAAATTTAATAAGCAGGATCAATGCAAATCGAAAGTCAACATTGGGGAAAGGATGCCCAGAAGCCATTTTTCCCATTCGGAGTCCTTTGCTACATTTTAAAGGACCCACGCAGTTGCAAAATGCAGGGCACACTGGCTAATCCATGGCTTTGAGAGGCCAGGAAAGCGTAATGATCGTATAAAAGGACAATGTCAACCTCCAGATTTCCTCAACACGTATCGAAGTTGATGATAAGAAGGACTTTGGTAAGGATATTCACCCAACAGCCTTTTTTCAGGCCCTGCATGACGGTTTCTACAAACGAATTGAACCTAGAAAAAATCAATAAATTTTAAAAGTCAAAAACAACCTTTTAGTGCAGCGAAATTTATATCTGAGTATGCCAATCGACTTTTGGGTCCTTTCAACCTTCTCGTATGATTTAATAATCCTTTCCCCAAGCAAAGAGCTTATGTTAGAACCCCTTTCAAGCCGATGGATTTTTTCTAGGAGCAATTCATTTGTAGAAACCATCATGCAGGGCCTGAAAAAAGGCTGTTGGGTGAATATCCTTACCAAAGTCCTTCTTATCATCAACTTCGATACGTGTTGAGGAAATCTGGAGGTTGACATTGTCCTTTTATACGATCATTACGCTTTCCTGGCCTCTCAAAGCCATGGATTAGCCAGTGTGCCCTGCATTTTGCAACTGCGTGGGTCCTTTAAAATGTAGCAAAGGACTCCGAATGGGAAAAATGGCTTCTGGGCATCCTTTCCCCAATGTTGACTTTCGATTTGCATTGATCCTGCTTATTAAATTTTAATTTTTGGACACATGCGGTTGATTTTATTTTTACCTTGTAAAGTCAAACATCTTTTCCTTTATTTTAAGGCACTAAAACAATTTTAGCTATAAAATTAATCATTACTCCATTAAGATTATAGAGGAAAATGTGATAATTAAAAAAAGTGGCCAAATCGATAAAGTTTTAACAAAATAGTTAATTAAAACCCAAGTGTGCCAATAATTTTGTTCAGGCAAATTTGGTCCATTCTTTGGTTTTTTATTTTTAATAAATTATTTATAAAAGAAAAATTAATGAAGTCACTTGTATTTAACATAAAATTAATGATTCTATCTAAAAATATTTTGTTTTATTTTAATATCTGCATATTATAAGAAGAAAAATAGCCTCAAAGTTTAACATGCTTGCTGTGCCAATAATTAAGTTTGTCACTGTATATAAATGTAGAATATAACTGAAGATATATTCACATGCACATTTGCAAACGATATGTAAATTTCTATTTGATTTAATGTCAAACTGTTTTCTTCTGCGTAGTAAAATAAAAAAGTTAATCAGTTCTAGAATATTTACTAAATTTAGTCGGTTAAAAACAATAACAGACAAATGATTGAAACGCAAAACAAAAATTCCCGAAAAAGTGTGGGGCAGAGGGGTGGCTGACGGAGCTTAGTCATTTTGTTTTTGTGAATTTTGTCAAGACGCCGACTGCAGCGCTGCTCTCTCATTCTCCCTCTCTCTTGCTCTCGCTTAGGGGTTGCCGGCAGCTGCGCAGTCAGCGTCGACGCCGACGTCAGCAGAGTCTGGCACATGCACATGACAATGTGTGTGTGCGAGCACATTGAACTGTAAATGCCAATTCGATGGTCATGGCGAGGGTGAGAAAAAGAGAGAAATGGAGAAAGAGAGTGGGGGCGCACTCACACAGACGTGCAATGTGCGATTTCTTGTTTACGTTTTAGCCCTGTGTGTTGGTGTTTGTTCTTCGCCTTTGTCGTCTAATTCTCTCGCTCACTGATTCTTGCATCATTGGCCGTAATCATTGTGTAAATGCCTGTGCTAAAAACGAAAGCAAACGGTAAAGCTATAGTCGAGGGCAAAAAAAGCAAGGGCAAGGACCATCGAACAAAGAAAGTTCTGTGTGTGTGAGTGTAAGTGTGTGTGTTGGCCAGACAAGATCGCATTAGACATTTTTGGGAACCCAACGAATTCTGCATTGACTGTCATCTTATCAGCTCCTCAACTTGATTACAATTACTATATACATATATTCTATATATGATATGGCCAGATAAGACTTGTTGAAAGAAATACCATAAATAGGTGATAAGTGAATTTATATTATGGTAGCAGGAAAGAGATATTTTGCGCAATCTTTGATTTCAATTGGGACCAAGGTCTTATTTGTTTATTATTTTTTGGGGGTTGATACAAATTTGTTGCCTGCTTCTAGGCGTAAGGAAACAATGAATGTCATTAAAAGAATCGCAGTTTGATATTGGTAATGATTTGTGATATAAAAATTTCTTTAAACAGAATTAAAATTAGATACTGACCCTAAGTTAAATATATGAGAGAGAAATATATAAAAGAATATAACTAAGCAAATCATTTAAAAACGGAATCGATTAAGTAAAATCAGTATTTCAATAGTTTGTAGTTTCAGTACAGTGATAGTGCAGTGACTAATCAATCCCTTCCCTCTTTCCTTTGCAGTTCACCGCATCCAGCAACAGAGCAACACCAGCCACCTGCAACATCAGCAGCAACTGCACCAAAAGCTAGCGCAGCTGCAGCACTTTCCCTACGGGCCACGCCCCCCCACCGGAGGCAAGGAGGAGACGCTGCTCCTATTAGCGCCGCCGGCCAAACTTTATCCGGAGGCAGCGGTGGCCACAGCAATGCCCGAGGTCCTCAGCGGCACGCCCACCAATAGCCACAACAAAGCCAACATCGCCATGATGAACAACGTCCGTCTGTCGAATATTTCGCCGACTCTGTCGATGAACGGCAGCTCCAACGAGGCATCTAATTGTAAGTATCCCTAAACTCCTCCTTTTGACTGGTTGATAACGATGCAGCCTACGTAGACTATTTAAAGTCCCTTAAGATACTTAACTCATGCATAGATAGATATAAATACTGCACCGTTTACAACCAGCTTTAAAATTATTTCATTCTTTGTTATATCAATCCAAACTTAAAAATTCCATTAGAGCATCTTATATGCAATGTAATTATAATAAAAAACTCGAAAACTAATCTCTTTCTCTCCTTTCCTTGCAGTGCATCCCCTATCCATGTACGGTGGATCCATCAGTCCGCAGTCGAATGACAGCGGCATGTCCGACAGTCTGGGCAAGTTTGTCCCGGGAAGCGGATATGGAGATGGGATGATGGGCCAGTCCCCCTCGCAGGGCGGCAATGGACCCCAATCGGCGTTGACCGCTGCCCAAAAAGAGCTCTTCTCACAGCGAAAGCAGCGCGAATTCACACCCGACAACAAGAAAGACGAGAGCTACTGGGATCGCCGGAGACGGAACAATGAGGCGGCCAAGAGGAGTCGGGAGAAGAGGCGCTACAACGACATGGTTCTGGAGCAGCGCGTCATCGAGCTGACCAAGGAGAATCATGTGCTGAAGGCCCAGCTGGACGCCATACGCGACAAGTTCAATATCTCCGGCGAGAATCTGGTCAGCGTGGAGAAGATCCTGGCATCGCTGCCCACCAGCGAACAGGTGCTGAGCAACACGAAGCGGGCCAAGATGAGCGGTGGCTCCTCCTCGGGCTCCTCGCCATCGGGCAGTGGATCGGGTGAGGGTTCCCCGCCCAGTGGCCACAATGTCTACCCGGGCGGTCCGCCACTATCTCCGCTCATCTATGGACCCAACGGCAATGCCCGACCAGAGGCCACGATCAAGAGTGTCCACCATGTGCAGCATGCGGGTGTTCCGCCGCCTCCAACGCACCTGCAACAGTTGGTTGTGCCCCAGCCCCAGCCGCAGCATCTCTACCAGCCACAAGCACAGCAGCATCAGCCGCATCAGCAGCAGGTTCCCCAGCAGCAGCAGCAGCAGCCACCGCATCATCAGCAGCAGCAGCAGGAGCCAAGCCCCAGTGCCGGCTCCAGTTCTCCAGCCATCTCCGATCCGCACAACCGCCCGCCAAGCAGCACAATTGCCACTCTCCAGGTGCAGCTCCAGCAGGCACTGAACAGGAATGTCCGACCCGAGGATCTGGACAGTCTGCGCAAGGCGGTGGCCGCCGGAGCTCTGTACAATGCAGCAGCTGTGGTGGGAGCACCACCACCACCACCACCTGCTGGTCTCTATGTTCCCGCTCCCAGCGCCTACAAGGATCACCTGGAGGCGGCGGCCGCCTGGAGTCACAATGTCGAGACGGCGGTGAGCAGCAGTGCCGTGGACGCGGTCAGCAGCTCATCGGTGTCGGCCAGTGCGGCCAGTGTCCTGAATCTTTCACGGCGGGCCTGCTCACCCAGCTACGAGCACATGCTCTCCTCCACCACCTCCTCCACTCTGTCCTCCGCTTCGTCCTCGGGAGCTGTTTCCGGCGATGATGAGCAGGAGCACGAACCAGCGCACATGGCTCCACTGCAGCTCCAGAGGAGCAGTCCGCAGCAGGGCAGCGATGCCAACAACTGCCTGCCACTAAAGCTGCGCCACAAATCGCACCTGGGCGACAAGGATGCGGCGGCCACGGCCCTGCTATCGCTGCAGCACATCAAGCAGGAGCCCAACTGCAATCGGGCATCGCCGCCTGCCTGGAACGATGGCGGGGACAACTCCAGCGACGAGCGGGACTCGGGCATCTCCATAGCCAGTGCGGAGTGGACGGCGCAGCTGCAGAGGAAGCTACTGGCGCCCAAGGAGGCCAATGTCGAACGCGATCAGATGCTCAAGTCGCAGCTGGAGCGCCTGGAGTCCGAGGTGGCCAGCATTAAAATGATTCTGGCCGAGTAGCCCAGCTTGAGAAGTTGGAGGACTGCAGCAGGAGCAGGATCTGGATCAGGATCAGGAGAGAGAGCGAAGAGACAGAGACTCTGAGGGATCGGAGTCGAGGGAGCAGAGCAGTAGATGGCAGAGCAGAGAGTTCCATGGCGCCAGTAGTTCTCCTGGACAAAGAAGTTTTAAACGTATAGTGGAGATGTCCAAAACCGAGTGTTAACTATTAGATATCGATGCATGCTTGTCTTTATCTCTATGTGTATAGCTCTAGGGCCGGGTTTGGGCCATAAGGACTCCTAGACCCTATGGTTTAAGCCCGGCCAATACGTATCCGTGTGTATGTTTATCTATCCACTGTATTGAGTCTTGTAATCGTGAATGTTTAACTATATAGATCTCGTCAAACTCGGAGCTAAACAAATCCTTAGGGTCGTCAGCCCAGAAGAATTTCTTATTTAACTGTTTATAAACACACACGCTATTTGTTTGCATAGCTAACTGGTGACCTCGCTTAATATCGGGGTCACCGGAGACGCTATTGTTCTCTTATGCATCCCAAGTTTCCTTATGCACAGCGAAAGCGGAGAAAGAAGATATATTATATTTGTAGGCAAAAGTTACCAAGTATTTGCTGTTGTACATATTACACAATTAATTATATTTACAATACATCTTTATTCCTATCGTGTATATAATTTTAGTTGCAAGCTAAGCTTATTTTATTTTATTTTATATTATTGTGTAGTGAAGTAAACATATAGATTACACTTAAGCGACGCGTGAAGCACATTCAAAACGTGAGAGACGAAAGAAATCTGAAAGAATTAATGAATATATTCTGCAATAAATAATTTTAAATATCTTACCTTAATGTTTGTCGTTCTCAATTTATTTATTGTTTGCTGCTTTGGTTGCCCGTGTGGGTCATAGCGCTTTAACTAAATGTTATCGAAGTTTAAGAAACTTGAAAAACGAAAACAAGAAATGAAAAAAAAACAGAATCACACAAAATACATATATATATATATTCGTAGACCATATAGCTGGTAGATCGATCGATTCGAGACGTATTGGTGTCGTAAATCGTAGTCCATGTGAGGAGAGCGAGCATTCACTTTTAAAGTTGTATTAATTTTATGCCAATCACTGTATCCATATGGTAAAGCATTACACTTTACACTAAACGCGGTGAAGCACACAAGAAAAATACATATGATTATTACTATAACTATGCGTACGCAGCCCCTATCTATATGAATATTTAAATAACTCGTTTGTGTTGATCAATGAAAATAAAACTATTTATATTGATGAAAGAAATTTACAAAAGTCTTTTACTGCAATGTTTTATGGGGATCTTTTCGAAAGTTTCCGCTTTCAACGTTTAATTGGAGATGATTCATAGTATTATCAAAGAAAATCAGCAAAACAAATTAGAATTGCAGCTGTACTTGTGAGTTAATCTATTACAGGGCTTTTATTAAAGATTGCATCACCTTTTCACGATATTACAGCATGTACGAGGGCTGTCATAGAAGTAATAAATCTGGGTAGTTAAAACAAGTAATACATATGACGGAAAAGTCTCACTCACTTATATTTATGGGTATATTGCCAGTCTGAAAAGCGTTCTTCCCCTTAAACAGTTCCTCAAATAAAACAAAACTTCCCATTCGAGTGGTAAAGAGATTATTTATTCTTAATGACTTTGTTGCCTTGTATTTGTACAACGAAAAAAGTTTTGAAAATTTAATTTTATTTAGAATAATATCGTGTGTATGTCACTAATTTGTTTTTCGTTTTTCGTTTTGGTTTTATCTTTATTCGAAATACAGTATAAGTATAATAATTAAATATTCTCTGTCTTTTTATAATAAATCCTTAAACATCACATGAAAAGTTTTTCTTGTTGTTGGGTTTTCTTTCTTTTATAAGTTTTAAATACTTTCTATCCGTTCTTTGGTATAATTTTCATATCGAAAACTTGAATATTTTCCGCTTGTTTCGTTAGCCTAGGAAAAACGTATCTAGTCCACAAAAGTTATAGACTTAGATCAAGACCTGTTTATAAATTTCGTTTATATATAGGTATATATATATAATAACTTAATAATAGTAAGTACCATATGTTGTGGTTGTTGAGGGTTTGGTATTTCGGGGATTCGGTTGTAAATATGTGTAAATACAGAATTTTCTTTGGTTTAAGACGATTTCTCACTTTCTGGTTGTATATAACTCTCCAGCCTTGCCTTGAAGAATAGCGTTCGCGATATTGGTATAGAGGTCTGTATATATCGTTTATCTATATAATATATCGTTTTTTGTTTTTTGTTTTTGAGTTTTCTTGTGTGGGTGTGTTTTCGTTTGGTTTGAGAGTGCATCTGTAAATTGTAGGTACTTATAAACTAGCTACAACACAACACATGCCACGCCATGTAAAATTGTAGGGGTCTCGTGTCAGAATTTTGGTGGCTGAAAAAATCCATCAAAATGCTAAATCTTCTAACTAAGTTTTCTTTGGGTCGCTCCATACTTTACTTTCCTTTTGTTTTTTTTTTTTGGCATTATCTAAGAGAGGTCAAGAGTGTATTTCTTTGGTTTTGCGTTTTTGGAAAACGTTGATTTGGCCTTAAACTTTTTGGTAGATTTGTTAGCTTCGGTTGGGTTCTGTTTTTATCGTGTGTGTGTTTGTTTGTTTGTCTTTTGTCTGTGGTTTGAGTTTTCGTGTAAAAAGGTACATGATAAGATTGTTTCACGACTCATCGATGCCGAACTGATTGAGGTTGACCCTACGTGGTCTGACCTTGGGTGGAATGTCCACCTAAGGACACAGAGGGGGTGGTGCTGGTGGATCCGGCAGCAGGTGGCGCTCCAGACGCCGACGTGCTCTGCTCCAGACTCCACGGATGCACCATGTCGTAGTATTTGCGGTAGTCGTAGTCAAACAGCTCGAAATCGATGCGATATATCTTGAGCAATTGGTCCAACGTTGAGCGGTCGAGATCGGCGAAGTATCGCTCGACCAGTGCCTCCGATTTAACCCCACTTCGCGCATGGTTCCCAATCTTGCGCTGCTTTCGCTGCGGCAACTTGCCCAGTCCCAGGAGCAGGGACTCCAGGCCCGCCTGTCGAATGATGAACTCCGAGTCCCGCTGGAACGTCTCCGTCTTCCCAATAATGGTGAAGTTAACGCTGCAGGGCGTACAGAAGCTATAGATCGGTGCCCAGTGCTCGTCGAATCTCTTGCCCGCCGCCTGTTCGCCGATCAGGAAGCGCACAAACTCCTCGAAGGTGGGTCCACATCGCGGCCATGGTCCGCCCAGATTCCGCTTGCGGTAGCGATGCACGATCTTGGTGCCCAGGGTCTTGTAGAAGGTGTTCTTGTTGCCCTCCAGCTTGTTCCGATAGGCACTCAATATCCGCTCGAAGGGATCGCGGACGAAGAGGAAGGACAGCGCACTGGGCAGCAGCTCCATCAGTTCGCCGAGTTCCGGGCGGGGATACCGCTTCCTCGCCAGCTCCAAAGGTTGCGTCTCCGTCCGCTGCAGGAACTTCACATCGTAGCCGGCTGGAAAACAAATTAGAATAATTAATGCCTCAAAAAATCATATCTTAGCTCTATAGTTTTTCAACAAACAATCCGGTTTAATGATATAATAATGAGATAATATGGATATTTATAAAGCAAACAAAATTTGTCATCGTCAAATAACGATTTAATAATGTATTAAACTAAAATATGTAAATTTTAGATAATTATAAGCTAATTCGAAATCGTTATTATTTTGTTAATGCTCTTTAATCCATAAAGATGGAAACCACTTTACAATAAAAATTATTTTTAAAACAAGAAAGGAAAGATAACTTCGGGCGGAGCCGAAGTTGATATACCCTTGCAGAATACTCTGTAAATTATATTCTCCAAAATTATTCATATGATGCATTCTTAATACTCATAAAAAATCCGAACTTCCTAACTTTAACAACAACAAAGTTATGGCATTTCCAATCGTTCAGTTATATGGCAGCTATAGGATATAGTCGGCCGATCCTTATGAAATTTGATAGGTCGGATTGATTGGCCAAAAATAAAATCCATAGAAAATCCCAACTTCCTAACTTTACAAACACCAAAGTTATGGCATTTCCGATCAATCAGTTATATGGCAGCTATAGGATATAGTCGGCCGATCCTTATGAAATTTGGTAGGTCGGATTGATTGGCCAAAAATAAAATCCATAGAAAATCCCAACTTCCTAACTTAACAAACACCAAAGTTATGGCATTTCCGATCATTCAGTTATATGGCAGCTATAGGATATAGTCGGCCGATCCTTATGAAATTTGGTGGGTCGGATTGATTGGCCAAATATAAAACCCATAGAAAATCCCAACTTTCTAACTTTACAAACACCAAAGTTATGGCATTTCCGATCAATCAGTTATATGGCAGCTATAGGATATAGTCGGCCGATCCTTATGAAATTTGGTAGGTTGGATTGATTGGCCAAATATAAAACCCATAGAAAATCCCAACTTCCTAACTTTACAAACACGAAAGTTATGGCATTTCCGATCAATCAGTTATATGGCAGCTATAGGATATAGTCGGCCGATCCCGGCCGTTCCGACTTATATACTGCGTGCAAAGGAAAGAAGGGTGTGTGCAAAGTTTCAATCCGATAGCTTTAAAACTGAGAGACTAGTTTGCGTAGAAACAGACAGACGGACAGACGGACAGACGGACAGACGGACATGGCTATATCAACTCAGGAGGTGATCCTGATCAAGAATATATATACTTTATAGGGTCGGAGATGTCTCCTTCACTGCGTTGCACACTTTTGACCAAAATTATAATACCCTCTGCAAGGGTATAAAAATTATTATAATGCATAACTCACCAAGTATATTAAAGTAATACATCCATGTTGATGAAGCTGCCTTGAAGACGTTGCACCTGGAAGTATACAAAATACGAGGTTAGGAAATATAGGTAAGGTATAGATGGGTCGCCACTAACCAGACGAGATTGTTGTGGCCAGGGGAGACGAAGAACTCCCAGGGATTCGGTGGATACTTCTCCTGCAGCTTATAGCGATCGCAGACGGCGGCCAAGTGTTCGCTCCTCCTCTGCAATTCCCGCTCCGTGCGGCTGTGCAGTTCCTCGGAGTACTCGTACACGGGATTCAAGGTGCTAGCCGGCGATGGAGGAACTGCCGCCACAGGAGAGGAGCTTCCTGCACTGGCATTTCCCCCGGTGGTAGCCTTTTCCTGCTCCTGCTGCTTGGCCAAAATCCTCTGGCGTTGCAACTGCTGCCGCTTGATTTTAAGCTGCTGCTTCGAGGGCTCCGCATCCGCCTCCAATTCCGCGGCGGATATCCGCTCCCTATGCTCGTAGGCATTCAGGGACTCCCGGAAGAGGAAGGCGAAGTAGCACAGGCCCACCACGACACAGGCACCTATCTTCAGATAGGTCTGCAGGCGTCTTCCATAGCGCAGGCGGATGAGCATCTTGCGAGTCTACCACGGAGTCCTGCAGCGATCTCGCTGCATGTTCCACGGGTTGGCGACGGTTTCCTAGTGGGATTAAAAAAAGTCCAAGTTCCATTAGAACAAATGTTTCCTAAGATGCTTTTGAGGTACTTTCTCCTGGGTTCATTTGGCTTTAGTTATATTTAGGGCCTCTGATTTATAAAAACATTTATTTTTTAAGGCTACGATATTACAGAATCTTCAATATATTTATATTATTTATAAGGAAACTTACATTTAATCAATCGGCCGGAAATTTCTTTATGTTCAAGCCCCCTTTCAAAACTTTACCATACAAAAGTAAGAATATTTGCTTAATAAAACTATAGGACATTTTTAAAAAATAAATGATGTGTTAAACATGTTTAATATGTATAAAACGACTTTCATAAATTAAATATTAGATTTCTTTTGAAGAAGAAACAATACGACCCGTTGCAAGGGTATAACATGAAAGTAGCAGCTTTCAGATTCTGTTTTGGATTTTGTTTTGGCCAAGTAACTCCCATTAATTTTGCAGCCCCCTCATTTTTGGCGCTTTTAGCCAGGCGACACTTGTTGGTGTGTACACACCAAAGGACACCCTCTCCTCCACTCAAACAGTCAGCACCGAAAACAGGCCAACACACACATTCCGACTTGGCAAACTACGTCATAGCCCCACACACAGACACACTTTAGCGAAAAAACACTCGAAAAGTAGGACGTCATCCTTAAGCGTCAACATGGCCAATGCAATTGCTGTTGCTGAAGTTGCCGTTGCCGTTGTTGTTACTGTTGCTGTTGCAATGGTAATGTTGCCATGGGGTCACTTCTGGCCAGGAGTGGGAATTGGCCGCTGATAGCTGACACGAAGGCTGTAAAGTGTTCACAACACCACGGAGACCACTTGAAAGCAGTTAAAGCTGGCCACTTAATGCCACTATCTGGCCGTTAACACATATTTCCGCTTAATTCTGGGCCTTCATGGAGTAATCCCGTATGTAAGCCCTATGGAGGATATGGCTAAACTTACCCAAACGGCGGACGTTTAAATATATATCTTTTCTTTTGGGGGAGCTGCCTGTGTATACTGAAAGCCTACGGCTGCCCGCCTCCGACTCCTGCTGCCCCCTCCTCCACCTGGGGCCGCTCTGTTACGTGTTGCTCGTGGCTCCGGGGAATCCTGATGCCTGCTCCGCTTCTGCCGTCCTGCTCACGGCGGCCACTCGCTCTCAACTGCCAGTCGGCGGATGGCCGCAGCTGCTGGTCCCTGCTGTTCCGAACCAGCTCCCCAGTAAGCCGACAATCCTCTCCAGGCGCCGGCGCAGGGAGAGCCCGAGCACGACGACGACGCACTGGGAGAGACACGCGGACCGTGGGAATGTTGATTGCTGGCCACCGGGAAACTTCACAGGACCTTTTAACGGGTCTCCCATGTGATCATCAACTAGGGTTTCTAAATAAAAGTTTAATTAAGAATAAAAGAGTCTTTGTGTAAAATTATTAAACAATTAAATAGTAATTTAAAAAGCTATCTTCAATCTCATAAACTTTAGGAAGAAACCGAAACAAAATTACTGTTTCAAGTTACAAAAATTAAACAAATGATGGTAACCAATTTAAAAGCATTTTCACTATTTTTTTTGGTTGCAAACTAATTTTAAATAAATAAATACATTTTAGAATTTGCGTTCAATGTAGCTTATAACTCCCAATAATTAAAATGCCCAGCGTTTTTTATTTTTTGTGTATATTAAATCTTTGTATTTTTTCTTTTTCTATAAATATTTTACTTTAAAGTACAAACAAATTAATAATAAACTTCTAATACTACGTTTTAAGACACTTTCGTTTTTTGTTGTTGTTGTTCATCTTGTGTGGTTTGTTTTAAATATTTAAATATATCATTTATTTGTTTATGTGTGTTGTTTGTTGCCGTTTGTTTACGAATCGGTATATAAATTATTTATACGTTTTATACAACATTTCCATTAACGTGTTTTCTGTTTGCTGTGCTTATCGGGCTTATTGCAGTTGGTTTGTTGTGGCTGTCCGAGGTGTTTAAACAAGGTTCACTAAATATGCTTTCATTTTCGACGCTGCGTTTGCCTTTTGCGTTTATTACGGGGCCGTGGCTGGTGTGGTATGCATCTATGGATTCGGGTTCTATATACGTTTAGTTTTTAGCGGTTCTATATGAATATATGCAAGTTATGCTAGGGGGTTGGGTTTTACATACGCTTATGTTTTGTTTTGCCTTGCTTTAAAGTAAACATGTACAAAGTATCAAAAGAATTATTTTATGTAGCAATCATACAATATATATAAGGTAATAATAATATTGAACAATATATAATGTTGTTTTGTGTTTTTGTCTAGCGCTTTGCCTTTGCTTTGCTTCAATTACTTTACTCTTTGTTTTCCCCTATTTGTTCAAATAACATTTAGCAAAAATAGAGCCTGCCTTATATACAATACAACTTTTTTGTTTGTGTGGTTTTTTTCACGATATCCCTTTTTCTTGTGTGTTTTGCATATGCAAAATATATAACATTATATAGTTCTTTTTCACTTTGCAAAACGACAAATACTAGGCGACTGATTCTCAATATTCTCCACTTTTTTCTCCTTATATTTTTCGATCTGTTTTTTTTTGTATTTTTTTTTTTTATGTTTTTGTGTTTTCATTTTTCTGGTGCTTGGCCTTTTTACATTTTTGACTAACTTATTGCATAGGTTTCCATGTGCATATATTGTTGGTAAAGAATTCTTGTTAAGATTACTGTCCTTAGGCTAGAGCATTTAAAACTAAAAAACAAATTTTCGAAACAACGCAAGCTTACGGAAACTAATACGCTATATCTGTATGTACGGTATTGATAAGTTGAAGGTTACAAAAAATATCAAAACTAAAGTTAACGTGCGGTCTGCTCTGATCTGCTCGATCCAACGGATCAGCTTCTTATAGACTTTCGACTGGGCGCAGCGCGTAAAAATAAGACAACCTAAAGCTAGAAATGTGTTCATGTTGCATCGTAAAGAATCTAAATATTTACAGAGCGGCCCATGGAAAAGGATTTTTCAAATTAAACTATGCATGCGTGAGAGAGTGTTCGCGTGGGTGTTTGGAGATGTTTTTTTTTTCAGTTTCAGCCAACTATTCTACGTTAGTGTTTATGGGAGCTTCTCAAATACGTACTCAACTAATTTGTTCAAAATTTCATCTTCTGAGCTATACATTAAATTGCCTGTTTCACTTGACTAGCAAATCATTTCCAATGGGTTGGATATTTGGGGAAGTAGTAGCAGTGCCAGATGAGAAAGGTGGCGGAGGCGGATAAACTCGGACTGGAGGGTAGAAAACAAAGTGTAAACTAAGGCGTAAATCGGCGCTTGCAACCGTCCGTCCGCGGTGTGTGGGGTGTGTGTGTGTGTGTCTGGGTGTGATGTTGCTCGCTTTGAGACGCAACATTATTGCAACTTGTGGCTACCACTAACTATACAAAATCCTCAACGGAAACTAGGGCTAAGAACTACAAACGAAAGCGTTCGGTATCAGTGCGTGTGATATATACAAGTAGCCGTCCGTGATCCGACTTCACTACGCCAGCTGCGACGAGCTGCTGCTGGCGGAGCGCTGCTCATCCGCCGTCGTCGTCTCGCTGGCGAACTCCTGAAAACTCAATCCCAAATCGTTGTTGAGCTGCACGATGTTGAGTACGTCGCTGGCATCGCGCCATGTCGGCTGGTGTTTGGTAGCCATGCCGCCTCCTCCTCCCCGTCCTCCTCCACTGCCACTGTCGTCCTCCTCGCTGAGGATGTTGTTCAGACACAGGTTGAACTCATCGTAGTCGACAAAGTTGCCGCAGTCCAGGGCCGTGGCGTTGGCCAGCTCCGGCATCAGCACCTCATCCACCTCTACGTCCGCGGCACTGCTGCTGCTGTGGTAGGACAGCAGGTGATCGGCCTCCTCCATGTAGCCGCCGGCTGCTCGCGCCAGATTCTCATACTCGGCCGTCTCATCACCGTCCTCGTCCTGCACCTGGGCTAAAGGAAAGCTGCTGCTGCTAATCTCCAACTGTTGCTGCTGCTGCTGCTGATGCGGCTGCTGTTGCTGCTCAAATTCTTCGAATAGCTCCAGCAGATCGTCTTCGTGCGCATCGCTCGGATGGTTCAAGCCTTTAGCCAAGGCGCAAAACTCTGGTCACTTGTAGTCACGCGACGTTCTTCTCCGGCGTCCCTCGGTCAACATGGACTCGCCAATGACTGCAAAAAGACGAGGAATGTTATCATTCTGTCATTTTTATATTCTATTCTCTTGAAAACTCTTTCGGTTTTCTAACTCACCTGCACTGCGCGTCTTTCGCCTCGCTTCCGCGACGCTTTCCACAGTGCCGGCGTTGTTGCCACCAACTGCTGTTGCCGCCTTGCCAGGTGTTCCCTTCGGCTCTGCCGCGGCGGCGGCTGCTGCAGCAGCTGCGGCTGCATTGCTGCGACTGTAGATGATCTTGTTGGCAGCTGCACTGGCACGCACGCTCCTCCGGGTGCCGATCTTCTCGTCCGTGGGCGAGCTGGCCGAGTTGACATTATTGTTGGTGGTACTGGCTGCCGCTGCGGTAGCTCCTCGTGTTGCATGCACCACACTCGTGCTGCTGTTGGTTTGGCTGGTGGTCACTAAAGCTCCGCCTGGCATTGTTGTGGTCGTCACTGAGGTGGACACAACACTGGGATTGTTGGAAGCGGTGCTGCTGTTGTGATTGCTGTTGACGGCAGTGGCATTTCCAATTGGCGCTTGAGCCTTGCCGGTCCTCGGGGTTCCAAGTGGAGGAGTGGCAGACAGAGTATGATTGCTGGCCGTTTCTGTTGGGAGAATAGGAACATCAGTTAATAGGTTTGTTATATGAAAACCTATACTAATGTCTACTTTATTTTTGAGTTCGAAACGAATCACATGCGGTGCCCCCTTTCAAATGGAAATATGCTAATCATTAACCCAAAATCTTGCCAAGTCATGTTAAACGTAGTTCCCCCGGATCAAAGTCCACTTACTGTTCTGTGGTGGTTGAAGCTGCTGTGCATTGCGGCGCGTCACGTGCTTCTCCACTGCTGCTGCTGCCGCTGCTGCTGCCGCATCGGCTGCTGCATCCACCTGCGCCTGCTTGGAGTTGCGCACCTTGCCGGCCACCTCGATCAGAGGCTCGTCCGAATCGGATGACTCGATCTCGACCTTTTTAGGCAATACTGGGCCGGAATTGTGATCAACTGTAGCTTCGGTTGCATTGTTACCAGTAGTGGTACTGCTACCATTGCCACTGCTTACACGTGGACGCTTGATGCTGTTCTCGGCCAAGTCGGCGGCATCATTACTGCTGCCGCACTCGGACTCCTGTCGCCTTCGCTTGTTGTTATTGTTGTGATTGGGTGTAGGAGTGACCACACGAGGACTGGCGGTGGAGGAGGCGCGGGATAGACTCTTGGCGGTGGCGGGTGTATTTGTTGCCGTCGCCGTCGTGGCTGGTGCACCAGTGAGTACTGTGGGATCAGGACTGGCTTTCGGCGCATCCAGGGGACTCTCCAGGCGACTGCTGGCCCGAGTCCGAATCCTCGGCGTTTCACCATCCACTTGAGCAGGTATCTCGATCGAAATGGGCTGCAGTGAGGCTGAATTGGACTCGACCTGAGATTTAACCTGTACCTTCTCCTCCGGACTGGACTCCGCTTTCAGTTCAGCTTTCACCTCCACTTTGGCTTCGACTTTAAGACCAGTCACTACCGTCTTAATCGCCGGCTCCTTCTTGATAGTGAGCAGCGGTGGCACCTCCTCCAGCTTTACCTTGACCGCCGGTTGTTTGCTCTCTGTGAGTTTCTTGATGAGATCATCGTGTTCGAGTATATGGTGTTCGCCGTTCAACTTGACGCTTCCTATGCTATTTGTGTTCGTGGTTGCAGTTGCTGGTGCCGCAACAGTTGCCGCTGGCAGAGAGTTCTCAAGGCTGTTAAGGTAGCCACCACCCGCAGCACTGGCACATTCGCTGGTCTCCTTGATCATCGATGAGACAATATCCTCGAGATCCTCGGGAAAGTCGCCCTCCATCTTTGCCAGCGCCTTTTCTATCTCATCGTCCGCCTGTTGTTTTTGCTGTTGTTGCAGGGAACTGGCTCCAGATAGAGGTGGTGCTCCAGCTGCAGTGGCTCCTGCTGCCGTTGAGCTAGGTGCAATCACAGGAGGTATTACCGCCGTGGATGTTGTTGTGGGCATTGTGTTCGTGTGCTGTTGCTGCTGCACCATCGTGCCCGCCACCTTGGTCACTTGAATGGGACTGCTAGAGGAGAGCTGATGGGGACTCTTCTCGGAGAGCGCATCCATGGACTCAATGCCGCTGTCCTCGCCACCGCCGTTGTTCCCGTGTCCCGGTGTCCCACTCCCATTGCTGGCGGGTGAATTGCGCAACGTGCTGGGCAACGCAGCCGGCGAAGAGGTAGAGGTAGTGATTATAGATGCGGAGGAGGCTGTGGATACCGAGGATAAGGTCGGCAGGGAGGCGGAAGAGGAGTTCACGGTGGCCACCACCACATTGTTGACTGTTGTCATGGGTGGCATGGCCACTGGCAACTTTCTATCACAGATCAGCTGAGTTGTATGCGTAGAGGGCGTCGACGATGTCGCTAGAGTTGCTGTTGTTGCAGCTGCAACTGCTGCTGCTGTTGCTGTTGCTACTGCTACTACTGGGGATGGGGTTATGCTAGGAGCCTGCTCTGCCGTGACCTGCGGTGTGACCTTTGTGATCTCCACACGCTTGAGGGTCGTCGCACTGGGCAACATGGTTACGGCCGCCGCCAGTTGTCGCTGCTGTTGCTGCTGCTGTTGTTGCTGCTGCTGTTGCTGCTGCTGTTGTTGCTGCTGCTGTTGTTGCTTCTGCAGCTGCAGCTGTTGCACGGCTGTGATGTATGGCGGCGGCTTATGGTTTTTTGTCATCGGCTTGCCACCCACAATGGGTGTAATGGTGGCGGCAGTCTTTATCGGATTCTTCATCGTCAACAGCCGATTGTTATTATTCCCGCTGTTCACATTATTGTTATTGTTGTTGCTGTTGATGGCACTCAGGGTAATGCTGCTGGGCAACGAGGTGGCTATCTTGCTAAGTTGCTGCTGCTGCAAGGTGGTGGATGTGGGCGTTGTTCCCGTGTTGGTGGATCCCACAATCAGCTGAGGATCACTATGGGATTGGGCCTGCGCTTGAGCCTGAGCCTTGTGCGCCTCCACAATGGCACTAATCGTCAGCCCATTTTTACCCGCCACAATAGTGGTGGTCTTGGTGGTGGTAGCTCCACCGGTTTGCAGGTGCTGCGACATTTGTGGTGGTGCCACTGTCGCCGTCGTCTTCTGTATCAGTATGGGCAGTCCGTTCACGTGGGCCGGAGGCGTGAGCTTGGTCTGCTTGTTGTCCGTTACCGCGTCCATGAGCAATTGCTGCGGCGGCTGATCACTGTAGCTGCGCTTCAACTGCCGCTCGTCAATGGTAGCCTCCTGATTCTGTCCCTTCTTTCGATCCTTTCGCGTGTTCTTGACCACCACATGGTTCTTGCCACGCAAACGGATTTGCAGGGGAGGTACACGCGGCTCATTGAGACCCGGGACAGCTTGTTGTTGTGCCTGCTGCTGCTGCTGTTGCTGAAAGTTGCTGTAGACCGGATGGTGTTGTTGCTGCTGTAGCGGCTGCTGCTGTTGTTGTAGTTGTTGCTGTGGCTGAAGCTGAGAAGGTTGTTGCTGCGGCTGGTGTGGCTGATGTTGCTGTTGGGTTAACTGCATTTGAGGCTGCTGCAACTGTGGCTGCTGCTGAGGCTGTTGCTGCTGTTGTGTAGGCAACGTCAAAAGCTGCGTCTGCATGGGCAACTGTTGCATGTGATTATTAACTACAATAGTCTGCTGCTGTAGTTGATTGACAATAATCTGCCCCTCATAGCCGGCACCCGCTGCCGGCACAGTTTCCACTTTGTCCAGCTTCAGACGCAGCTTTATCTTTTCCTCGGCCGCCTTCGTCTTAGCATTGCCCTTCGCCCGCTCCCTCTTAGGTTTCGGCGTGGCTGTGGGATCCTTAGCTTTGCGCTCCTTGACGCCCTGCTGAAGCTTCCCGCGCAGCAGATTCGGCTTGGCCTTCTTGCTGGGCGCTCCGCCGGCTGTTACGGATTGGGGCGAGTTCAATCCAATCAAAGGCGAACTGTTGCTGGAACGAGGCGAATTATCTCCAGCACCCAAATTGCTGTGGTTCGCTTTCGAGACTGGGGTTTTCCTAGCTCTGCTGGAGGCTGATTTGTTGGATGCCAGGGAATCGCGCGATCTTTCCTGGTCACTGCTTATAGTCATCGGATGCTGCTGCGCGGAATTCGAGTCCTCCTCGGAGAAGATATTGTTGGGCAGAAGCATATCGTTCGCGGGATTGAAATTAAAGCTGTTAAAACCACTGGACATGTTGCTGTTGCGGAATTGCGGCTGGGCCGTTTCCTCTTCCGCCTCCGTTTCGCTATCGTCGCTGGCCATTGGTTCCATATCCCCAGTGTGCGGATTGATGATAAATTGCTTCTGGGGCGGTCTCTGTTGCTGCTGCGGGTGCTGCAATTGTGGCTGTTGCTGCTGCTGTTGTTGGCGTTGGACCATCTGCAATTGTTGTTGTTGTTGTTGCTGCTGCTGCTGTTGCAGTTGTATTTGTCGCTGCACCTGTTGCTGCTGTCTCTGCTGCTGTTGCAACTGCGGCAATTGTTGTTGCTGTCTCTGCATCATCAGTTGTTGCTGCAGCTGTTGTTGTTGCTGCTGTTGGTAGGGCATTTGCAGAATTTGTGGGGCCTGCTGTTGGGCATGCATCACCGTTTGCTGTTGCTGCTGTTGTTCCAGTGGCGCCTCTTGCAGCGTATTTAGTGCATCCCTCACGTCCATGTCCACTGCAGATAGATTGTCCTCGATTAGATCCAAATCTAGATCCTTTGCATCCTGCAGCAGCGATTCGAGCTCGTTTTTATCTTCCAGACTGAGCGTCGAGTCCAGATCACAGTTCAAAGTTGGCAGCAATGCGTCCAAGTCGTTTGTGGTTAAGGCATCCAGCACGGAAAGCGAGATCAGAGAATCCACCTGACCTTGAGCCTGACCCGCAACCTGTGGCTGTTGACCTTGAACCTGCTGTTGCTGCGGCTGTGTCGGCAACGCGGGAGGCGGCAACTGTTGCTGCTGTTGTGGCTGCTGCTGTTGCGGCTGTCCTGGCAGATTGACCTGTTGCTGCTGCTGCTGAAGATTGTACTGCATTTGGTAGCGCGTAAACTCCTGGAAACTGCTCTTAGTGGCCGAGTCCATCGGCTTATTGATCCCGGCCAGCGGCCAGCGAGAGTTGGCTGCCGCCTGATTGTAGTCCGGTGGCGGCGCTGCAGGTACATGGTGAGCGGTTGGCATATGCGGTCCCGCCAATTCGCTAGGAGCTGAGGATCCAGGTGCAGGGGCTGGCGACACCATCTGCGGTTGCTGCTGCTGCTGTTGCGCCGGATGATTGGCCATTAGCGGACTGTGCATCGAATGGTGGCTGGAGGCGGGCGAGTGCGCGGGTCCAAGGGGCGAGGCTCCGCTCATGAATTGCTGTTGAGGTGATGCCTGTGGCATGGACAGGCTCATGAGTCTCTGCTGCTGCTGTTGCTGCTGCGGATGAGGTGGCGGAGGAGCCAGCGGCAGTCCGCCAGGTCTCAATTGATGTCTTATCTGTTGCTGTTGCATCGGACTCATGCCCATGTTGTTGAAACAATCTGTGACGAATAAGAATGTGTTTTAGTAAATAATCTAATTGTGTTTAAACAGTCCCTTTAGACGCTGATGCCATATTCATTAAACAAACTTTTACAATTAAACATATCAAATTAAGTTATCATGTATCTTCTCAACTATAGGGTTTTATAAAATAATAAGGGCATCAGGTCTTAAAGGTAAGTAAAGACGCTTACCAGGCGTAGGCTGAAACTGTTGCTGTTGTTGCTGCTGGCCCTGTAATTGCTGTTGCGGCTGCATGAATCGTATCTGCTGTTGCCGTTGAAGTTGCTGCTGTCGCATAGCCACAGCCTGCGGTGACATTTGCTGATGTTGCTGTTGAAAGCGATGTGGTGGTGGTCCTTGCGGTTGCTGTTGTTGTTGTTGCTGCTGAGCCTGCTGTTGCTGTTGAGTATACATGTGATTGCCATTGCTGCTGGGACTAAGCATAGTCTGCTGCTGCTGTTGTTGTTGCTGCTGCAGACTCCTCATGATCACAGGCGGCGGACAAGGAGGAGCCGCCGCCTGGGGCGTTGTGGGGGAGGAAGGTACCACCGGACTCAGTACGTCGCCCATGAGGAAGTCACTGGGCGTAGCCGGACCGGAGGATCGCATCGGGGAATTCATCATCTGCGCTCCACTGGGACTCATGCCAATCAGCGGCGATTGCTGCTGTTGCTGTTGGGGGGACTTGAGCTGGTTCGGATTCGACATGGCATTGCCGTCGTTCTGCAGCAAATTGACAAGCAGCGGTGACGATATGGCAATGTTGTTGCTGCCCGTCGATGTGGCCGTTGGCAGCGGCGGATGCCCTAGAGGATGGTTCAGCTGGCTGGGTGCCGTCACAATGGCTGGCTTGGCACTAGCGCCCGCTATGGCAATGGGTGAACTGACGCTGCTGGCCGTGCTGGCAGCTCCCAAACCCGGATATGGCGGCGGTGGTGGCTGGATGAATTGAGATTTGCTTCCAGGTGGCGTTGGAGCTGCCGAGGTTGGCGTTGTGGGTGTAAGCTCGCCATTCTGAGGTGCCTGCGGTTGTGTCTTCAGCACCTTGAGGGTCACGTTGGGTGGCGGAGGCGGCGGTGGCAAGGGCGGACCCAGACCACCCCCTTCGCGACCTTGCAACACTTTCGCCTGCCGCATGCTCTCGAAGGGGAAGTCCCTCTGCGTGGCGGAGGGCGAGGGCAACAGGAGAGGCACCTTGCCCTCCATGGGGCACACGGTATTGGGGGATTTGAAGACGGCGGGAGTCACGGGAGTCACCTGCGGCTGCTGCTGTTGTTGCTGCTGCTGTTGAAGGGGCATCTTCTGAAGACCCAAACCCGCCGATGTCGCCGCCGCTCTTCTTTGATGGAGTGAGATTGCATCGTTCTGGGGCAGCTGCAGAATCCTCTGCTGCTGCTGTTGCATGAAGGCGGAGGCCGCCTTGCTGGTACTGGGGCCATCGAATCCCGTGGGCAGCAGACCACTTTTGATGCCGGAAAGCGAGCCAGCCGCCTCAAGTGTCTCGTTTACATTATCTGGGGAGAGGGATTACTAGTATAACTCTGGATTCTTGTCGGACATGACTTATGGATACTCACCCTTGGTTATCTTAACATCTTGTCCACCAACTTTCAAAGTTATCACAGAATCGCCCTCGAATTGTACGGACTGAATGTTGAGGGCGCGCAGCTCGGGATTTCCATCGTTGGCCAGCTGACGCAGCCGTTGTGCTGCATCCCAGGGTAGCGAGACCAATATCCGCACCAGTGACGGTTCAAGCTGCTGCAAAGGGTCGCAAATATAAGACATTTTGCTAATTCACAGCATTTAATTAACATTTAAGGAGAGCCTTATAGGAAGAGCAAGAAGAAGAATAGGTCCAAGTGAAATTGCTGGCGATGGGAGCTATTATCGATAACAACTATCGGCTTAAGGCTTGCAGCCCTGGAACACCGCACACACACAAAAACACAATAATTTATGGGCAAAACACATTTCCAAACTTAAGCAATACTTGTCAATTAAATCAACAACTTTCTAATATTTTATTTATTTGCATTTTAATTATTTAAAAGCTTGATATTGCTTTATGTCCATTTGTTTTTGGCCCTGCCGTTGCTACTGCTAGAGTGGGATGGCTATAGGGCACTCTCATTGGAAATTCCAACAACAATTTGTTTCGACAACAGGAATTAAGATTTAAGTGCTTGAATTAAGTAACCGAAGAGGCTTTTCAGCTGACTGCATTTTCCACGCGCGGTGGTGGGCGAAAGGGGGCGGGGCAGCTGCTGCCCACAGGTTGCATTTTCACATGCGTGCGTGCGTTTTCCCTGCAACGTCTCTCTCTCTTTCTCGCTCAGCGGGATGTTATCGATACCCCGACGTCGTCGCCATTTTTCTTCTTGGCCTCTTGGAAGGGTGTGTGTGTGATGGGTGTACAAGTGTGTGTGGCAGAGGGAAAAGGTAACCAAAATACTTGCTTGGAATTAAGGCGGGGGGTAAAAAGGGGGCGGGCTGATTAATAAAATAAAAAAAATGGGAATGAGGAAAAAAAGGGAAATAAGAAGAAATTTGAAACACTCAATAGCAAGAATTGGTTACCCCTCTTATTGTTTTTGTTTTTATCCCCGTTTTTGTGCGTGGGTGACGCAAGTGTACAATGGGCAAAAACAAAAAAAGTGCAATAATCGCAAATCAGCTGTTCTGTTGCGCTTAAAAACCGAAACGACGGAAAATCAACTCACCTGTTTAAGTGGCATATCATCACACGACAATCGCACGCGTCGTATATTTAATTGTTAGAACGCTGCTCAATTCTCGCATTTAGCTTTCGATTGACCGCCGTGGCGTCCTTTTGGAAGTTGGAAATATTGCATTTTAGGCATAACACTCGTTGGGTTTTGATTTATTGTCTTTCGTTGATTTCCCCCACTAGTTTTTTTTAACCTCTGCGACTTTTGTTTTTGGGCATTTTCCACTATTTTTTTTTTCTCTTTACTTTTTTTAGTAGTAGCCTCACCAACACACACGCACTGCAACACACACACACACACGTGCGGGGCGCGGATAGGGATTTTCCTGCGTCACTTTTCAAGCGCTTTTCCTGCTGAAAATCTCGCCTGCCCGCCTGCAGATTATTGTTCAGGGCAATTCGTAGATATAATAGCCCCCACTGTTCTCCATTTCACATTTGGTAGCGCGATATTAAATGCCTTTTTAGCGGGTCTCGGAAATTTTCACGCATTCGGAGCAGCCGATTTTCGGGGGCTTAATTTCACACGATTCGCTTGCGTGCGGGCAACCGATAAGCGCACTCGATTGTTGAGAAAGATTCGCGCTTGCTTTTCAGCGGTTAATTAACGCTGCAGCGATACGTTTTTCCTGTTTATTTTGTACAAAAAACTTCGTAATTATTAAAATTCCACGAACAATAACAAGCACACAGTGGTAGCCATTTTTATTTTCCAGCCGGTGTTGCCAGTCGGTTGAGCGGCGAAATTCCCTAAATTTGCCGCATTTTTTGAGTTTCCAGGGCTGCATACTCACCAGCATTGGAAATTAAGTGCATGTAGGGTTGTCAGGTCTTCAGATAACAGATACTGAATGAAAATGATTTCATTACAGTTTGCTTATGACAACTTAATGTTAATTATTATTAACAAGCAAACTCATTAATGATTTTCTGGTAAAACTTTGTTATTTAATAATTATTGCATTGGAACTATTAATTTATTTTAAAATTATTTCTCTATCTTGAGTTGACCTTCACTTTGTCTGCAAGGGTATTAAAACTTCGGCTTTCGTTTTCATTAAAATAAAAAAGAGTATTTTCCTAAGCACAATCTACTGCCTCACTGGAAATATCGATAGTATCGAATAAACATCGTTATTTGTTCCAGCTCTTCTACATCTCTGACAAATTCTACAAATGTGAGTACATAACAAGGTTTTTCTTTTTTAAAACGGATTCTAAAGGGTTTATTTATTAAGTAAAGAGTGATTTATCATTTTTATTGGTGCCTTTTGATAGGTGAATAGTTCGTAGAAGCAACCAATCAGTTTTTAATAGTTTTCTGCCAACTGCCTTTGCAGACCTTACGTAACTACACTACAGAGAACTATAATTGACTTTTGTGTTTTTTTTATTCCTCGGCAGCAACATGGCCAACACTCCAGCAACATCCAGTGTCGCAGGACCCGTGCTCCGTGGCCTGCACAACGCCACCATCAAGAAGAACCTGGCCATTTCCCTGGGATTGACCGCCATCATCACCGTTGCCTACAAACTTCTGGTTAACGATCCCAAGAAGGCCGCCTACGCCGACTTCTACTCGTAAATATTACTTCCGTATACCCAATAGATCCCCAACTGATCGGCTTATCCATTATCTTTGCAGGAAGTACGATGCTAACAAGTCCTTCGAGCGCATGAAGGCCGCCGGTCGTTTCCAGTCCTGTTAAACTAGGCAAATCCCAAAAAACACATGTAGTCTAAGTCAAAAAGATGTTGTAGAGCAAGTGTTACGCTTCTGTATTGAAAACTAAATAGATTTCAGTCTACTTATGTGCACGGTGGAGTTTTAATTTGCATATATAGTTTACTGTTGTTAGCAAATATTGAAGTTTTACGTAATGCCCTTAATAAGTTGTAGGATATGGTTACAAAAACTTGTTTAAAACTTATGATGATTTGGGTTTACACAACAACTAAATCTTAAAATTCTTTAAGCCAATGGTACTAGTGAAACTAGTTTAAAATCACACCACTTTTAAATCGGATGTCTGTAAAAAAAAGTTATGGGCTTAAAAGTGCAGAATTTAGTCCTGTTTTCCACAAAGCCATTTTTTCGTAAATTAGGAAAATGACGAAAAATCGACCCAAAACTTCAAAACAAACTGAGAATGCAGTTTCTTAGAGAATTAAGCCACGATCATTTAGAAGTATGCCACTTTAAAATCGGATGTCTGCCAGAAAAGTTATGGACTTAGAAGTGCAGAATTTAGGCCACTTTTCCACAAAGCCATTTTTTCGAAAATTAGGAAAGGGGTTAGCATTATGAAAATGACGAAAAATCGACCAAAATTTACAAACCAAACTGAGAATGCAGTTTTTTAGAGAATTAAACCACGATCATTTAGAAGTATGACACTTTGAAATCGGATGTCTGCAAGAAAAGATATGGGCTTAGAAGTGCAGGTTTTAGGCCACTTTTCCACAAAGCCATTTTTTCGAAAATTAGGAAATTAGCATTATGAAAATGACGAAAAATCGACCCAAAACTTCAAAACAAACTGAGAATGCAGTTTCTTAGAGAATTAAGCCACGATCATTTAGAAGTATGCCACTTTAAAATCGGATGTCTGCCAGAAAAGTTATGGACTTAGAAGTGCAGAATTTAGGCCACTTTTACACAAAGCCATTTTTTCGAAAATTAGGAAAGGGGTTAGCATTATGAAAATGACGAAAAATCGACCAAAACTTACAAACCAAACTGAGAATGCAGTTTTTTAGAGAATTAAACCACGATCATTTAGAAGTATGACACTTCAAAATCGGATGTCTGCCAGAAAAGTTATGGACTTAGAAGTGCAGGTTTTAGGCCACTTTTCCACAAAGCCATTTTTTCGAAAATTAGGAAAGGGGTTAGCATTATGAAAATGACGATAAATCGACCCAAAATTACAAAACAAACTGAGAATGCAGTTTCTTAGAGAATTAAGTCACGATCATTTAAAAGTATGCCACTTTGAAATCGGATGTCTGCAAGAAAAGTTATGGGCTTTGAAGTGCAGAATTTAGGCCACTTTTCCACAAAGCCATTTTTTCGAAAATTAGGAAAGGGGTTAGCATTATGAAAATGACGAAAAATCGACCAAAATTTACAAACCAAACTGAGAATGCAGTTTTTTAGAGAATTAAACCACGATCATTTAGAAGTATGCCACTTTGAAATCGGATGTCGGCAAGAAAAGATATCTGCTTAGAAGTGCAGGTTTTAGGCCACTTTTCCACAAAGCCATTTTTTCGAAAATTAGGAAAGGGGTTAGCATTAAAAAATGACGAAATATCGACCCAAAATTACAAAACAAACTGAGAATGCAGTTTCTTAGAGAATTAAGCCACGATCATTTAAAAGTATGCCACTTTGAAATCGGATGTCTGCAAGAAAAGTTATGGGCTTAGAAGTGCAGAATTTAGGCCACTTTTCCACAAAGCCATTTTTTCGAAAATTAGGAAAGGGGTTAGCATTAAAAAATGACGAAATATCGACCCAAAATTACAAAACAAACTGAGAATGCAGTTTTTTAGAGAATTAAGCCACGATCATTTAAAAGTATGCCACTTTGAAATCGGATGTCTGCAAAAAAAGTTATGGGCTTAGAAGTGCAGAATTTAGCCCACTTTTCCACAAAGCCATTTTTGTCTTACAATATCTGGAAAACCAAATCCACCCAATTCAAGTCAAATTATTATTACTTTCTTTATTTTTTAATCGTATTTACAAACTTATCGAAGTAATGCACATAACAAACACATAAAACCATTATGCCGCAGTCGAAATTGAAGGCGGAGAGATATCTAAAACCTAATTGCGAAGTCCTTGTAGTCCAGTCGGCTGAGATTTCCCTGGTTCCGCAGCTCACATCGATCGATTTGGCAGCCGGGTGATCCCTCGCTAGACAGCCAGGTGATCCTGTGAGGAAGAGGATATTACTCTTGGAAACGGGTTACTATTAGGGAGTACCCACAACTTGTCCACCTCCTCCTTGGGTCCCTGCATTTTGCCCACAATGGTGCCCTGTTTGCTGTTCTTCACCCAGCCCGTGATTCCCGCCTTGGTGCATCGATCGCGGGTGTCTTTCGTGAGATTCAGGCCTGCAGATCGAGATATCAGAGATATATATTCGATATAGTCTAGCGAATGTGGAATGGGGCGTGAAACAAAGCCAAGGACAGGTGTGGGGGCCCCAAAGTAACCAGCTACTTTGGGTTTATTTTTAGCCATCCACCTGAAAGAGCACCTTGATTTCTAGCCCCCGATTCCTGATTCTAATCCTCCATTTTACCGCACCTTGCACATGTCCATAGACCTCAAAGTCCAGTGTCACCAACAGCCGAATATCCGGAATGCCCATTTCGATCGACTTCGAACTTTACCAAATGCGCACTTTTGGTTATGTAAATTTAGCAGCAACTGCTCGATATTATAGATTTATTTTTTTTATCACCTTATCCGCACTTAAAATAACCACAAATTAAAGTTAAAAACTCTTGATAAACTGGAATCCTTTGGTATATATTTTTAAAAATATTTTTTGTGCTATTAAGTGCGATTTTTTCCGCCGCGATCGCTAGTTTGATTTTCAGCAAACCGTCGCAAATTTAAAACTAAAATGCCAAGTAGCATATCAATTGCTTTCTATTTTGCGTTTTCGATTTGTATTTGCGTATTTATTTTAGCCGCCCGTTGCATTCTGCTTCTTTCTATATGTTTTTGTTGCTATTTTTTAGAGAAAAGAAAATACGAGCGATATAGGAATCTTTTGGGGCGGTCACAGCAGCCGAGTTTTGTGGTCGGTATCTGATTTCTGGGTGCGCTACACTGCGATTTTGGAGAAAGATTGATCTTTATCCATTTGTATCCATTTTATTGAAAGTCGTAGGGTAGCCTAAGGAAAGTTATTTGTGCTTAAAAAATTTGCAACGATTTTTAATTATTTATAATAATATTTTATTTAAAAAAATTCATAAATTTTGTCAGATATGTAACCTTTTTATGATTTATAGTTGTATGCCAGATAAACCAAAATGTATTTTAAATAAAGAAAAATATGTTAAACTAATTAAATCCAAAAGTTTCTTAAAGGGAGCAGTTCAATTATCTGTCAGATCGCCGACATGCCCTACAGTTGGCCATTATCTTTGTATTTGGCATCAAAATCATACGATTAGGGTGTTTATTTTTTCTACGGCTGCACATTGCTCAATTTAGCAATACAATTTAGCATTTTCTTTGCCTTAGGGAAATGTACTGACCCAAAACAATGCATAGACTTTTTTTCTGGGACCCCTTAGATTTCGCTTTCTATATAATCCGCCTTTAAGAAATGTGAAGAATGACAAGTTCATAGCAGGCGCATAAGATGGGCCATGAGACTTTTATAAGACCAGACAACAAATGCATTTTATTTGTGTTTTTCTTCGATGAAAGGGAAATTTATTTTTTCAATGCAAAAATGACTGCATACTGTTGAAAAATTGGTTATCTTGTGTAGGTATTCTTTGTCGACACAAAGCGGAAACCTACAAATAGTATTATGTTGTCTATATATAATCCATTGAAAATTAAATATGTATGATCCCTTCCAAACCGAAACTCCCAGTTTGTTATTGGTTATATAGTATTTACAAATTTATTTATTTGTTTCCTGCGATATATGAAAATACCAATGTACAATGTTTATACGCGTAGTTGAATCGTTATCACTTATCTAGTGTGAGTGGGTGAGGGTGCTTTCGTTACCAGTTTAAATTTGCAACGTAAACCTGCAGTGGAAAATGCAAATAAACTTAATATCTAAATACGTCGATCCTTAAATTTTCTGTACAGCTTGGGATTTGGGATCGGGACTATATATCTATGGGCTAATGCTAAACAACTGACTCTTAAGTAAGCTCGGTAGGTTTAAGCTTAGGCGATTAAAACTAGTTTAACATCTAGACATAGAAACGATATTAACGGTAACAATGAGCCAGGAATGAGCCGGATCCCTAAACGATCTGCACGGCGGGATGGGGCTTCTCGATGAGACTGCTCTGCGCCTCCTTGTCCTTCTCCGCATTCCGACCTAATGAGGCGTGCTCCGGTTTCAAATAGTAGTGCGGCGGTGGCGACTGCGAAGACGACGTTGTCGGAAGGGCACACTTCTTCCGGCGCTCGCGGAGGAAGTGCAGCCGCACATAGTTGATGGGTATATCGACGCTATCGGCGCCCACGCCCTCCGCATCGATGAAGACCCCACGCACCAGGATGGAATTGGAGCACTTGATGGCGGCGAGGAGCAGGAATGGCACCAAGTGCGTCAGCCAGAAGCTCAGCAGCTTATTATCTGGAGAGGAAAAAGAATATTTTAATTGTTAAATTATTCAATGCAATTGAGTAAATAAATTGATTAAAATAATGGTATAAGTCTCCCCAGGATAAGATTTATAATAACCACCTAAACAAACTATTTGTTGGTGTACTTAAAAATTCAATTCAATTTCGTAGAGAATTTCTTACCGGGGTACAAGTACACATCCAGTAGATTCCAAATGCCGCGCCAAGCATTCACCGCCCCAAAGAAAGTCATCAGATAGTAAATGTCGCATATGATCAGCTTGAGGATTCCGCTTATCCGACGGCACACATACCGCATCAGTGGGTGGATGAGGAAGGTCACAAAAACGGTGAGATATCCAATGAGCTATAAAAAAAGGGTAAACGTAACAACTGGTACTGATTTGGTGGAAGCTAGTGATCCTTACCAGCGATCCCCAGGCTGATTTGGCCCTGTCCGCCGGGAACAGCAGCAGGTCAAAGATTCCCCAAACTCCGCGCCAGGCGATGACCACCAAACTACCAATGACAAAGACCGAGAAGAGGGTGTCCAACACATACAGGCCAGGTTGATGAAAACCCTGGGAAATATAAAAAGTGTAATAAGTATTACCAAATATATTTAACACTTAACAATAATCCTGTCTATATATATGGGCTTTTGAAAGAGGAATAAAATATTCTATGTGATAAGAAAAGGACTCTATAAACAGAATATTAATTAAGCAAAAACCCAATAAGCAAATTAAATTTTATTAACCAAAATATTTAAATGAATATTCTGAGACATATTATTTTAAAGCAATTCAATACATTTTTGCAAGACCAAATTTAACTCTATATGTTAAGCTGTGATTTGGTTTAACGTTTGGTCAATCCAATTGTTCTTTATACAAATAAAATTTTATTTTCTTGGCTCATGCTAAATTTGAACATTATTTAAATTAAAATTAAAATACTTTGTGATAGTATATTGTAAACGAATTACAGCTGAGTCATCCAGCTATATTTTCACATCCTGCTTTGTTTCTAATTAAATACAATAAGTTTTACTCACGGGTATTTTGAACATGGTGTCCACCTCGAAGTAGTCGCTCTTGTGGTCCATGGTGACGGTGTAGGGGGCTGCTCCCAGGTTCCTCAGGGTGCGCGTGGCCACCAGGAAGATGAGTGCGATGACCGTGACCACGGAGACGATGATCAGGGAGTCGATGCTGGTGAGCCAGTCGCAAAGCAGCCAGGCACCCCGCCACATATTGACGCAGACTATCCCGAACACGGCCGTGTAAAGTCGCGATACGGTGTAGTAGGTGAGTCGCCTCTTGTCCGGATGGATGTGCTCCTTGAAGAAGTTCTGCGTGACGGTGAACAGGAAGTGCCCCAGTCCGCCTATCAGGAAGCTGGCCATCGCGGAGAGGGGCAGACTGCGGGGGAACAGGTACACGCCCATCAGTTCCCAGGTGCCCCGCCAGTAGGCGATCACACAGGGAGCCACCACCAAACAGGAGAGCAGCATGTCCAGCAGCTCCAGCAGCAGTTCATGGAGATCCCGGCGAGGAGTTTCCGCCTCCAAGCGCTTCTCGCAGGCGGGTGTATGTGTGCTCAGGTGGATGGTGGGTGTCGAGTGCACCTGCAGACGCACTGGATGCGGATGCGGATGTGGGTGTGGGTGTGGATGGAGGTGCTGCAGGAGCTGCTGATCCGTAACCGATGATCCATGGCAATGAGAACTGCCCTTGTCCGTTGTGGCCAACATTTCGTTCGGGTTATTCTTGTGTTTTTTTTGTTTCCCGCGGTCTAGCGATTTCGCTATTTCGGAATCCCCCTCGGCTTTAATTCCCTCCAATTAAAAGCAATTATCACTCCGGATACTTTTCGGCTGGGACCCGGTCCTGATCGCTGCTCGTCGGCGGTTCGGATGTTTTTGAAATAGTCAGGTAACTAAATGCATTCCGCAACCGGTAATCTCCGCAAGCGTCACCGCCGCTGCATCGCCGCTGCGGTGATAATAATCTGGCACTGATAATTAAACCGTCTATCTGCGGGCCCCTCTCGATCTCTCCAAAGTCTGGCCGCAGTTGCATAATCCGCTCTAGCATTCGCATCCACATCCACTGTCACATCCACGTCGAGGTTGCCATTTGCCGTCTGAATTTAATCGGGAATCAAATAAAAGCAAAGAACAATCATCAGTTAAGAGCAGCTCCTTATCACCTCTTCCCCTAGTTATCAATCTTTACCCGGGGGCAAGTCACAAAATAAAGTCCTAGTAAGTATTTTGTAGTTTATAGTTTATAGTTTATAGTTTATAGTTTATAGCCTATATATAGCAGATGTGGGCTTATCAGAATCCGACTGATTCCAGTATTTACCAACATTTCAAAGCGGACCTTGAGCACTGTACTCATGCATTAAGTGTTAATATTAAGGCAGGTTTACTATTAAATTGAAGAGATAACAGTTCCCAGCTTCCACATTAATTGAATATTTTTGTTCTTGATTAAAAATATTAACTATATACTAAACAAAATTAATAGTCCAAAGAAAAAGTATCCACCATAACTTAAAGTCTTCTAAGTGAATGAAAAGCACGTCAAATTAATTATACAACTTAACTATTTTTCACGACAGATAGTGATTTCAGTAATTTTACTTGCAATGCAATGACTTATTTAAAAGATTTTCGTAACTGTTGTAAATCATTGAGGCTTTAACAATAAATATAAATTCAGAAGCTTAAATTTTAAAAAAGAACAATTTTAATATCCTTTATATAATTTTTAGCTGTTTTGTTTCTTGCCAAAAATGAAGATAACTTTGTAATTTCCATGACTTATTAAAACAATATTTGAACACCATTGTTTGGATTATCAAAGCCATCAAGGGAATCCTTTATAGTCCCTCAATGGTGCTTTATGGGAGGCTGTAAAGTGAGAACCACCACAACAAGATATGAAAAGTCAGCACATTCATCTGTTTGCTCGAGTCAGATGTCCCAGATTTTATGGAGATCACCTGAGAGAGCCGGACTCTTGGGCTCTTTTCCTGATATCTCAACGTCAACGTGACAATTCGTGCGTTGAGTGGCCTCTCCACGCGGCACTTAAGTCGCCCCCTCGGACTTATCTCAAGTGACTTAATAGATCCAATTTAGGAGCTTTGATTAAAAGTAAAACGACAGCGAAACAAAAAGCGAAAGTGATGCGCTCCACACGACAGGGCATCGAAAGTGTCGGAGTCTTGAACCTGTGCCACTTGAACTTGTCACTTGAGTGGCCAGGTCAGGGGCAATCAGAAAGGGATTCCTTAAATGATGCAATGGTCGGTCGGGAGATCTGGCTACGAGCTATAAATAATCGACACACATAAGTGATTTCCACATTCGCACTAGAATTTGGTTCAATCTTTAAAAAGAACGTTTCCCTCAAATTAAAATTAAGCATTAGTTTTTTAACCTTAAACCGGGAAAAGGCTTGAATGCAAGGTCGATGCCTAATAACAATCATTACTTATGCTAATGGTTTCTTATCCAAAGCTTCAACACTTCAATTCGTTTTTTAAGTAGTTTACTATGTTCATAGTAAAATATTTTCTATAAAACTGCTTTTAATAACTTTTACTACAATTACTTTTTTTTATCTTAAATAAGGGAAAGTTCAATTTAACAAGAAAACAAATAAAGCGCAAAATTGCAATCGTTTGTAATGTAAAACAAGGAAGCCAGTGATCAAGGGAGTCTAGAAATTGGTTCTTATTTGTATTTTTTTCTAAATTTAAATTTTGTATAACGAATTCTGCGACGAATCCATTTATAGTCTTCTACGTCTCCGACAATTATGCACTGGCAGTGACTAATTAGTCGAAGCACCGCTCACTGCCCCCTTGGAATTAGTGCAGGATGTTTGTGATTTTCGTGTTTTGCTTGCTGTCCGTCTGCGGCGGCAACGCGTCGTATGCGCGATAATTAAACACACGACTTGCATGGGACCGCCGTCGAAGGTCCAAAGCGGGGATTTCGGATTTTGGATTTCGTTTTGCGGATTTCGCTTAGATCCAGTGAGGCTACTAAAACAGCTGCCATTGCTGTTTGGGTCAAGCGCATTCGCATTTAAATCTGCTGGCTAAATAGACGACCCACTGAGCGGCTCATTGCGCCCAGCAAGACTTCCTCGTTTCGGGGGACTCAGAGATGGATGATAGAGGGATGATTCTAAATTAAGACCAGGGATCGGGGCGAAATCAAGGGGGTTTTTTCAAGTTCAAACTCCCCAAGTGGGCCAATGCGATGCAAATGCACATTGTACTCCAATTATGTCGGCTAATTGACAAAGAACGGGTGACAATTCAAATGCCAAATTGGCCGCGCAGCGACTGATTCTCAATTTTCGCAAGGTTCTTGATAAGTTCCAGCCCCCGAGTTACGACTTGACTGCCAGCTAATTAGGTTTGCCAACACAAACGAGCTGCAAATATTACCCGTACTATATTTGTTTCTGGGCAAAGATAGATAGATAGATATATAGATAAGGCCAGGCACGCCAAACACTAAAATCTCGCGAAATGCCGCCTTTTATTTGGATATTGTTAAATGTTTACGATCCTAATTTGCCTTTGACTGATTTGAAAGCGTTTGCAGGTGCGATAATAGCCAGAGTACATCTCTTTACAGCTCGCCTTTTGTTCAATATTTGCTCGTATTATTATCAGCTCATAAGTGCTCTTTTCGCTGGCATTATTCTCAAGTCTAATAATCGCAACTGAATCACAATTTTGAGGGGCTCACAATCACTTGGAAGATGGGCAAACATTTTGCGCATTGAACGCCTAGCGCCTTTTATTTGTAACACTTCATATGCAAATGGGGGATCTTAAATTTTTCTGTAACCTGTAGGTATTTACTTTGATCAGCATATATTAGAGATTATAGACAACCAACTTAGCATAATTGGTTACTTTTCTCAACCTGTGTATCCAGTATTTTATTTCAATATTTCTTCGCGTGTTTGTAATAACGCTTTTAGATTTAACAGAGTGTTTTAATGAAATTAAAAGTAAATACGTTAATTCTAAATCTTTTGCATAATTCTTACTTAATCCGTAACATAGAAAATAAAATAGCAAAATCAATTGTATCTAAGGACAACACTGCGTATGAGTAATAATTTCTAAGCAAATGAACAAATTATTACTCATACGCAGTGTTTGTCTTTCTACATAAAGAAAACTTAACGAAAGGTAGAAAGGTTTGGGCTAAACATCATTTTATGTGATAACCAATGAAATCCCTCAAATTTTCCAAAACAAGTGCAACATATCCCAGTTATTGCGATTAGATGTGGTAATCAAATTGAATCGACTCACTTTGCTAATTGTTATTCCTTATCGATTTGTACGTGTTGTTAAATTATTTATTAAAGATAAGTGGGAGAATAAATAAATAAAATTTACTATTTTTGTTTTTCTCATTTTACAAATGAGTACAGCTGACTTTGATTATCAGCGAAATCTAATTAGAAACTCATATTTTCCGAAACAAGTGCAATATTTCGAAATCGCTGCGATTAGATATGGCAATCACATTAAATCGTCTAACATGTTAATCGTTATCCCTTATCAGTTATCGATTTACAAATATTACAAAATTATATATTTTGGTGGAGCGGAAAATGCGTGGGCAGCAGTAAACAAAAAACAAACGCGACCACACTACACACACACACACGCACACACTGCAGAAATCACACTCACACACGATGGATTGTAATAAATTTATGCAAAAACAAAAACATGGGATTACCGTTTAAAATTAGCAGAGCTTGCTGTTGCTGATTTTTTGTATTTCTCTTTTTCTGCTGCGTGGTGCGTGAGTCGCAAGTGCGAATGAGACGGATGCAGCAGCAGTTATTCCAGGGTTTTGATTTTGTTTTACTTTTACAACACACACACACCGGAAATGATCGGGTTTTATCGAAAGGCTTCGATTATTTTGGTCGATCGGCTTTGGTTTCGATTTAATTTCGATTTCGTTCGATTGACGGCGAATCCAAACCGTTAGATGTTTGATGCTCGAATGCGCGTACGCGACTTCTGGCGCTACTACATATATGCCTATACTCGTAGGAATTGGCTAAGCTCGGGCGAACAAATACAGAAACACACACACATACTGGCGCACATTTGCAATCTAGTTTATTTGCGCACGGTTGTTTGAACTCGGCGGACCGATCTCTGATCGTTCTGATCGCTCGTCAGTCGCCGGTGGCCGCAGCTACTAAACTGGACAACTGTGGTTCCGGGAAATCCGAAACTGCGTCTGATTTGGGTCTCCGTCGCGGACTGAGTGCCCCAAAAAGCCCCCAGCGCAAAAATCGCCACAGCTTTGCATCCAGTCCCCCTTTTTATCGAGCCAAAATTCGAGCTTGAGCATTTTCACCGATAGCGAACTCTGATTTTGCAACCATTCATTTTGAGTTTTTTAAGTATAATTCGAGAACAATTCAAAATCTTTTTTGAGATTTTTCAACACTTGCGAAACCGTTATAATAATGTCTTCTATAAATACATGTTTTGTAAATATTTTGAAATTGTCACCCAGAAGCTTTCTTTCAGCGATAAGCTTTCCTTACAGAATGTGGCAGTACTATTTTTTAGTATTATGATCACTTCTACCAGCTACAGTAAATATTTGTTAAATTCCATGTAATTGTTACTTTAATTCAAAGGCAAATGGAAAAGAGGTCGAGTGTTTTTGTTTTAAAGATGTAAAATATCATAAAATGGACCTACAAAGTAAATAGTCACAGCTTCTTAGTGACATTAAAATATGAAATTTTATATCTAACTATATTTGGAACTTACAATGTTAATTATTCTGTAATCATACGTAATCAATTCGATTTTTAAATTATAATCCTTGGCCAACTATCGTATTTGTTCTGAAGCAGGTTTTTATTTCTTAATTATGAATAAATTAATCAATGATACGGATATTAAAAAACTATTATAGAACGATCAACAATGTTAGAATTGTAATTTATTACAGGTGGCATTAATACGTCGCAAATTGGCATGGAATTGACTTAAATAATTCAGTGTGAGAATTAGTTTAGAGTGTTGAATGGCTCGGAAAAATTTAATTTGCGCATCAATATTGGGGAAATCTCATGAAAGTGCCCCAAAGCTTGATTAGTATATTTTTTGATTGTCTTATAATTATTACCAGACGTCGCGTAACACAATTTTTGAAATAATTCGTACTTAATAAACTCATAAAAACGATGCAAGTGCAACAAGTGCAAATCTATAAATATTCAATTACGCCTGAGAACTGGAAAACTGATTAACGCTGCAGTATCAAAACGCAGTTATACTTTCCCTTCGAATCGGACTGATTTAATTTATGCGTGAATAATTTTAGATAACAAAATTAAATACTGAGATTGTGCAAAGAAATAAAAATGCAATTAGCTACTGTTTGACAGGTGAAGATTTATATTGCAATTGAGTAGAAATTCCCATCCATAAAATAAACTAATGCAACCCATGACTGGGATTTGTGATTAGATTGCCGATTTAAAATCATTCATCTTTAAAAGTTCTTACTCATGTTGGTCAATCGTGATTTTCTTTGTCCCAATTTTAGCACAAGTCACAGATATTAAAAGATAATGGGTAATTTAATAGAGCTCGTGATTTTCATTTCGCCCACTGGCGAAAACCCTAATGCTTATTTATTACTTAACCTTGAAATCGGTGGACTACGATTGTTTTGCCAAAATAAAGTCAAGTACTCGTCTGGGTCTCTATCTCTGGCCCTATGTTTTTGCCTTTATCAACACATAAGTTTAGAGGAAGCCCATAAACCACAAGACGTTTTAAGAAGTTTGGGAAATTCCGTATTACTATCAATTTGAGCCCTAATTAACGAATACTATCGAACAAAACCATATTTGACTGTTTTTGTATGATCTTATAAGAAAATATAATGTAGTATGTTATTAATATTTTACATAAATGGACATATTAAATCACAAAAATTATGTAAATTATTTATTGAATAAAATATGGACATGTAAGATATTTATAAGAACGATTTTATTTAAAGTTGTTCTCACTCTTGTCAGTACTTTATATTTAGGTTACACAATTTTGTAAAACACAAAGAAACAATAAAAATAAGATTTCCCAATTTCAGAATTATCTTACCGATTTCCAGATAGCCACTATCAAAATTACAAAAAAAATTGAGAAACTTTTGGAGCTGATACGTATTTAAAGCCGGTCACAACATTACTAACCTACGACAAAATAAACCAGATTTAACTAAAGATCTGTTTCGCAGATCGCAGAGATATTCCAATGCCAACTGACCCGTGTTTTTCGGTCAGACCTATGCAAATTATATCAAAAATCACCGAGTCACCGGTGCTTTGCAGTGTGCTGGATTGTTTATTAATTTTATTAATTGGCCTAAGCTACATCAAATATTTACATACGTCTCCTCCGAATTGAGCGCGCGATAATCACAAACTAAAGCGTTGCCAAATATTTGGACCTTTCGAGCGCCTAAATCGGCGGCAACTCGTTATCGCCACCGAAATGATAAGACCGAACCCAGAGGAAGGTGTTCACATGAGTCCATACCACTCCCTTAAGCTGTTTGACTGGCCTATTCCACTTCGGCGGCGATTAGAATTTAATGTAAATGTCGCCCCAACTGGATTTTCATGTGTATTTTTCCGCAATAATCGTAGATTCATTCCGATTCCCGTTCTGAGGAGCCATAACGTCAGATGTCTAAAGCTGCTGCTATCAGAGCGTTGCGAAAACACAGACATAAAGGTCCAATCAGTTGCCGGGTCATAAAGATCGAGCAATGCCTATCGGTTTCGATGCTGAAGACCCGAAGGGGTTCGTCTTTTTGCGCGGTTTAAATCGCACGCAAACCGCTTGGGCTTCGAGCAACACGTTTTTCGGTGTTGATTAAATTGAAAACTTATACTAGTAATCAGAAGTGTTCTTTTGAAATCAGCTCTTGGTTTCCCCCAAAAATATTGCTCTCCATTTTATTTTATGGCTAATCCTAAGTATACAAATTTAAATGTTACTGAATTGACTGTTTTGCTTTCCTTTTTCATTTTATATGCTTCAATTATAAGTAAAAAAATAAAAAACATTTAAAACAAAGTAATACAACAAATAATACAACAAATTAATAAATAATGGGGTCGAGAAACAACAGAGGAGAATACAACAAATTTTTTAAATTTGTGTATTAATTGACTAAATTGTGTTAAAAAAGGTCAGCTGATAAGGTATTTTTTGTTTCCATTAAATTCAGACTGATTAAAGGTTATTGTGCTTTAATAATCTGTTGTTACTCAAATTTTCAACCAATGTGCACTGAACAAAACTTATTCAAACGTAAACTGTGGAATATTTAAACTACGTTAAATACGATTACCTGCTTAATAAGAAGATTCTGATGTAATCATAATTCTTCAAACGGCCATAAGTATGCTACATATTTGCTTGTTTTGGTAGCCATTTTCTTTCACAAACCTAAAAGTAGGCAACAAAAAGCCTTTGTTATTAAATAAAGAAAATAATTCATCGCTTTTTACCGTAGTATTTTACTTTTATACATTATTTCATTTTCTGTTTGCTATTTTCAGCCAATAGAAAATATAAATGTTTATGTTCTATAGCCATTGTCTATAGCTTATATATACAATGTGCAACCCAAAATCAAAATGACTTTATATAAAAGCTAAATTTATTGTTCTAGTACAAATTATTAAAATAGTGACCGACTAAGCTCTAGCGGCCTTAAGTTCAGTGGCATAGTTCTCTTTGAAAGCCTCCGCCAGCTTGAATTTCTGGATCTTGCCGGAGGTGGTCCTTGGGAATGCATCCACGGGGATCACATATCTGGGAACCTTGAAGTGGGCCAGCTTGCCCTTGCTGTAGGCCTTCAAGGACTCCGCGGTGAAGGAGGCGGGGTCCATGCCCTCCTCGAGGCGAACGAAGGCACAGACCTCCTCGCCCAATCGCTCGTCGGGAACACCAATCACCTGAAGAATCGAAATAAATACAGGACTTTCTAGTTTAAACTATATTCCCAACTCACGTGTGCTTCAATGACCTGAGGATGGGCATTCAAAAAGTCTTCAATCTCTTTGGGGAAAATGTTCTCGCCGCCGCGGATGAGCATCTCCTTGAGTCGGCCCACGATCCTGCCATAGCCATTCTCCTCCAGGATAAACTGATCGCCGGTGTGCAGCCAAAAATCCTTGATGGTCTCCCTCGTCTTCTGCTCATCGGTGTGGTACCCCTTCATGGTGGTATAGCCGCGGACACACAACTCACCGGGCTGGCCAAAGGGCACACACCTGCCCTCCGAATCCACCACCTTGGCCTCGACGTGATCCTGCAGTTGACCCACTGAGTTCAGGACCATATCACTGCCATCGCCGGGCAGGGTTTGGAAGATCACCGCCGTCGACTCGGTCAGACCGTAGACACTGTGAACCGTTTCCACGCCCAGGACCTGTCGCACATCCTTGATTAGCTGCGGCGACACAATGGCGCCTCCGGTGATGGCCTTCTTGATCCTGCCCAGCGGCACCTGCAGTTTCTTTTGCGTGTTCACCAAATCCACATACATGGTCGGTGTGCCATGGATAATGGTGCACTTTTCGTTGACAATGGCGTGCAGCGAATCCTTGGGACTGAATCCGGCAGCAGGCAGCACCATTGTGGCACCTTTTGTGAGCGCTGCCATGATGGTGATCACCACTCCGAAGGCATGGAACATTGGCACCTGCACGCAGATCCTTTCGCCCTCCAGTTGATTGCGATTGCCCACATGGATGCCATTGTTTACGAAATTGTGATGGGAAAGGACGGCCGCCTTGGGATTGCCGGTGGTTCCCGAGGTAAACTGAATATTACACGCCGACTCTGGCAGAATGTCCCTCTGCGTCTTGGCCACCTCTTCGCGCTCCGATTGGTTGGCCAGATCCAGGAGATCATTAAAGCGCAGAGCTCCCTTCAGGTCGTTACTGCTGTCGATTATCAAGGATTGCAAGTGCGGGAACTTCTGGCTTTTGATCTTGCCAGGCTCCGCATCCGGAATTTCCGGGCAGATTTCTCTCAAAATCTCATAGTAGTTTTGGCTCTTGAATGTCTCCGGTGCAATGATGGCCTTGATATTGACCTTGTTGAGGCAATAGGCCATCTCGGGTCCCTGGAAAGCGGGATTGATGCCCACCGAGGTGAGACCCGCCCGAGCTGCTCCCATCATGCCGAGGTACCAGTGCATAAAGTTGGGTGCCCACAGGCCGATGGCATCACCACGCTGCAGTCCCAACTTCCGGAATCCCGCCGCCAAGGCATCCGCTTCCCGCAGCAAAGTTTTGAAGGTGTACCGCTTTCCCTCGTGACAGGACACAATGGCTTCCACATCGCCGTGGCTCGCCGCTGTCATCTCCAACTGCTGGCCAATGGTCCTGTACACCAAGGGATCCCGACCCACGTGGTGCTTGTGGCTGACCAGGATGGGCATCGCGGTGGAGATACTAGTAGGAAAGAATATAAGAGAAATTAATATTTTATTTGGGAATTTGCACCTAAAAGTTAACCAGGAAAAAAAACTTAACAAATAATGTTATTATATTTTAAGATGATTTTATGTTATGTGTATGTATTCCAAAAATATTGCTAAATCCCTATTTGCTTTTAGTTATATTTAAAGTATGAGTGGTTACAATTATATAATATTTTCTTTAAAATATGGTCTATCTTGAATTGGGAATTTAACTTGATTTTAACTTTACCATAAAGAAACAGCATGTGTTTATTTTATTTATCTGCTAATATTAACGTATTTCCATTACTGTATTGACAATCTAGACAATATTATTATTTGAACTGTCTACGTGTCAAAAATACATAACCACTCTATTAGCGGTTAGTGCTTTGATAAGTGGGTTTGAATTTTTGCTGAGTGTAAAAGCTTTTAGCAAGTGAAAAAGCTCAAAACTTGAATGGTGTGTAAGCCATGTATTTATTTATTATCAGTTGATAGTTTTGCTGAGAGATTATGCCCCCGATTTGTAAGTGGGATTTAATAGTTTTCCAAGCGGAGAAAGGAGACGCGTGCCGAGAGACTATAATGAAGCTGTTTAATCAGTTATTACACATTATATTAAGTGTTATTTACTTTTAATTATAAAAGCACGAATTGCATATCTGTTTTGGCGCTTGTTGACAGATCTTACCCTAGCACTTGATTTCGTGGCCACAATAAATTATCATGCGAGTGGAAATTTCTGCTGACGATTTGCTTATCTCTTGAAATTCATCTAAATTAATACTCGATAATTAAAGCAACTGCGTTGCGTTCTATTTTTAAACCTCCCCTGCCAGCCACGCCCCCTTAAAGTTAGGGGCTTGAGTAGAAGACCCACGTAAGCTAATTAAATTAATTATTTAATTTTCGACTGTTGGCAACATCTATCTGGAATCTTAAACATTACGCAATGTGGCAGGGGGTGTTAAAGGGGGATTATTATAGCTGCCCTAACCAAAACTGCGCAATTTGGTGATGGAAAGTTTTTACCCTGCTTCCACGTTGGGGGTAGTATATATGTACATATAAACACAAATGACCTTGACCATCTCTTTTAAGAATAAGTATCCTGGAAGGTCCTGCCTACCTGCGCATCGAGTTGAACACACATCTCTGCCTCAGCATATATCTGGAGATCGTTTGCAGTTTTCCGCTCATCTTGCCGACTATCACAGTTTTTTGATTTAAATTAATATTTAAATATTAATATTTCATAATATGCACAAATTCACATTTAGTTAACACGATTATTTGAATAAGGTTTTTTCTGTAGAAGTCTAGGAACGTCCGCTGCCCGTAAAGTTCTAAAACAAACTGAGCGAAGGTGCTCTAATCGCAGAATGTTCTTCCCGTTTCGCTGCTTTTGCCAGCGTTTTGTTTTTTTGTTTTTACTTTTATTGTTTTCTTTATGGATTGACAAGATCGTTGCCGGCGTTTGTTTTGCTTTGTGTTTTGATGCCTTTATTTTGCTTGCGTTTTTATTTGCTTTTGCCAGCACGTGTGGCTTTGTTCGATATACTAGGTGATACTATACTGTGTTTGCTCGACCAGTTTATTCCGAAAGTAGCTTTTGATGGTCAGGGTCGTAGAAAAAAAGGGAAATACTTAAATAGTTAAAAATAAATATTATAATATACATATTATTCTGTTATTTACTGATTAAAATTTTTTAAAAATTGTGTTTATATTTTCAATTTTCTTATGAATTAAATTTTGTTAAATTGTTTTTTTAAATATATATAATTGTTATTTTTTGCCTACGTCCCAGTTTTTGTTTGAAGCTTTTTCGTTGTGGCGTGACTCGCAGCTTTTTGATCTGCCAGAAATGTTCGCTCTCTCAATTATTTGGGATATGTTCGGGTTGAACTTAAAATTAAAAATTAAGAGTGTTCTCTACTCTTATTTATAATAATGTGTTTACCGAGCAATTGACTGCAGTGTAGCTTATTCAGTAGGTGAGAATCCACTGTCGACCACCATGCTCTTTAATTAGCAACTGATAGTCATGTTCAATTACTTACACATGGTGAACTGTTATTATGTGTTTAAAGTGGAAAGTGAAATTGGTAATTACAAACTCCAAACGTTTTATAGTGTAGTGCGTATTATACAGATAACTTGGTAAGATTAAAGTTATGTTGTTTTTCATAACTATGTCTTTGTTATTTCAGAGCTCATTCTTAACCCAACTGATAAGATAAGATAAGTTAAGCTAATATGTTCTTTATCATTGCGGAATCCCTGATAAGTAAGCAGATATAATTTGCGTGGCTCTTGGCTTTTCTTTTACTTATCGCTATTTTTGTGTTTTTATCGCACCCCCTAAAAAGCAGAGTTAGCCTTGAAGTCAAATCAGCAAACATATTAATATCTACAATTGGAACTACAATTGAGAACATGTCATTTATTCAGCTTTTTGACTATGGATAACATTTATTGTACATAAGTGATTGTGAAGTTTATGTACTTACTATCTAAAACTACTCAAGTTGTACCTAGAGCTCCGAAAATAATATTAATAATGTATAACAAAACAAATCATTTGGATTTGCTAATATCTTATAGTTAGGCGAATACATAAAATTGAATCAGCTATTATTAGAATAATGTTTTTAACATTTAGAGAAGTCTAAATTATGAAATGCTCTGCCCTCTCATTATAATAAACAGAACTTGGTATACTTTGTATGTACCACCATAATTAAATATGAGGACTTTCCTGGCCATTTGGGATTTCCACTACCAGTCCGCCAGGATGTTACAATCTCAGTCTCGACGGTTTACCCATTAGGTTTTCCCACAGGCATTTAACGACTGTGGAAATCCCAACGAAACTTAAGAGCTGTGCTGAGATTTTGGCGCCAAAAAAGGCGGTGTTTCCCGGATTCAACAATTGTAAACAAACGCTTGCGCGGATGTTAGTTGGCTCTTCCTTCTGTTTTTGGCCAGAGCGTCTTGCGTTCTTCGAGTTTGGAGCTTCGTCGTGTTGCCAAAGCTACCAACCGAGTGAAAGGGCCGAGTTTTTCCGCTCGAGTGCCTTGGGAAAACTGAGCTCGACTGGCAAATCAGAAACTCGCAGACGCTCGTGGCAAACGGTTGATACTTTTACGTGGCTCCCAAAGAAGCCAGAAATCCAGACAAAGTTGGGGACTCTTTTGGCCAACAGAAAAAAAAATAATAAAGGGGGCACTGCCGTTAACGCACACGCAACCGAAGCCATAAAGGGGCTAAACATATAAATTTGTGTAGTAAAAGTGAAGAAAGCGAAAGAATCAAAGTGGAATAATAGCGAGCGGATGTGTTGGAGCGTTTTTCGGTGTGTGCTTGTGTCTGTGTGTCGGTTTATGTGTGTGAGTGTGTCTGTTGCTGTTGCCAATGAAAATGCAAATTGTTGGTAACAAATATTGGTAAAATGCGGAGGCCGTAGGAATTTGTGCAATGCGAGTGCGAAGCGGAGGAGCCCGAAACTATGCAGCTAAAAACCCGCCGCCAAACCCCGAATCGAATCAATAATAATACAATAACCGAAGCGGTATTACACGGATAATGGCAGCATAAACCAGTTAGCATCCGCCAGTGTTTTTGTTTAACCAACGAACCTCCCAAAAACCCCCCTCTTCTCCCCCAACATCCTTCGAAAAATCCTAAATGATAAGCACCTAGGATTGTGGAACTCTAATCAACGATCTAAGGATGTCGCAGCCTCGCGGAGGGCGTGGCGGTGGGCGTGGCGGCGGTGCTGGGGGCGCCGGTGTTGGCCGCAAAACCCCCTCCTCCCTCACCGGTCCACCGGATGACTCGGCCACGCCCAGCGAACGGGCAACGCCCGCCAGCAAGGCCGACTCGGATCCCAAGGACGACAGCTCGAGCAATGGCGACAAGAAGGACATGGACCTCTTCCCCGCCCCCAAGCCCCCCAGTGCCGGCGCCTCCATCCGGGACACGGCCAACAAGGTCCTCGGACTGGCCATGAAGAGCGAGTGGACGCCCATCGAGGCGGAGCTCAAGAAGCTGGAGAAGTACGTGGCCAATGTGGGCGAGGACGGCAACCACATTCCGCTGGCCGGAGTCCACGACATGGTGAGTACTGTACAGTGAGGCGCGGTGGAGTGGATCGCTTTCCGGCTCATTTGCCTGAATTTGTAAAATCAATTGCGAGCCAGAGCGGGAATAGGAAGCGGAATAAGTACAGGAACAGGTCTTACACTCAAAAAAAAATATTGGGATAAAAATATAAATTCAAAAATAGTAACTAATAGTGTTATTTTGTAAACATAATAAACTCCTGAGAATAATTGTTGGTAGCTCTTTTATTTGTAAACAGAGTGTTTAGTTAACAATATCATATTTTGTTAGGATAATTATTTTTCAAATATTGGCAATGGGTTAAGTAGACAATATTTTTGGAATGTTGTTTTGCATAAACAATAGTTAGATAAATTACATGTGGTATAAATGGGAGTTCATTTTTTTTGAGAAATTATTTATTATAATTACATTTTATTTTATAAACTTAAAAACAAGTCTAGAACGAGAAATCAGTATTATGAGGAACATTTAGCCAAGTGTACGCGATGTACAAACGTCGCCCTTATCAACGTCGGCGGCATTTTCCCATTTCTGGTTGTTTACCAGCCAAAATAACGACACACAGAGCCCAGGAACTGGAGGCCAGAAAACAAAAGCCGAAAAACCAGAAGCCAGAAGGCAGAAACCAAAAAACAGAGAACTGAGAACAGAAAAACAGCGAATGTTATTTGATAGCGCGTCCCAAATGTTTTCGCTGCCAAGGCGATGGCTTTGGTGGCTTTGAGTTTTCGAGTTTCCGAGTTTACCGGGCGTCCTGCCGCAAGTTGCCTACCCAACTACCGATAAACTCATAAAACATCGAAGAATTGAAGCGCTTCGATTTCAATTTACCATAAACGGTATGAAACGGAGAAGTCGTTGACATAAAATTAAGGTTGCAACGCTAATGAAATGCGGGGAGATGTGCGGCGAAGGGGTTAACAATTCCTGGGGGCTCTGAATCCCAACCACCAGTTCTGATTGTCTGCCAGACTAGACTGAGGTCGAGACGACATTTGCATAAATATAGCCTACAGTTTGAGCTATTTTTGCCTTGATTATTTCCGTTTCTCTGGGCCTTCTTGCTCCTTATTCGGTTCTTGACTTGATGGGCTCGCTCTTGATTTCGTTTTAATTACGAGAGAATGAGCTTATAATATGAAACGCAGCTTATCATGATGGTATTTGATTTAAGCCCAACTTTTTAATATTTATATTTAGTTTTTTTTTAATATATTATTTGGTTACATTAATGAAATCGTTATAATGCTAGAAAACAATTTTAAAATATTTAAACCTTTATTTTTGTTTGGGTTGGCTTTTCCAATTATGTTCTTAATGAAAACTTCACATTTTGTATTACGTCAGTAGTTTTATTGTTGTTTAATAGTTGATAAATATTGCACAATCACTGTCCAGTCATATTTAAAAGTATAATGAAAAGCGTCTGACGTATCAATACAATTTCTTATCAGTAGACACAAAGCACAGCCTATTTTTATTACATAGCCGCACAGATTATTTTGTTAGAAACAAATCTATTATCAATGCAAATTGACGGCAAAGTCACTAGTAAATATAATGACATATTAATCGATTCACTTATAAGTTACTTACAAGTATGTAGTAGAGATTGCGACCAGGACCGGTTATTTCAAGATTATTGCAATGTTGTGATAGGTTTTCTTAGATTTTAAGACATATTTTATTTCACCGCTTAGATTTTTAGGTCCCCATAACCTATTATTCTATATAATAAGGCGTTTAATACTAAATACAATTATCTAAAATGTTATAAAAGGGGATTAAAAATCTTTGCTAAATTAAAACCCATAAATTTCCATTACAGAATACCGGCATGACGCCGCTGATGTACGCCACGAAGGACAATAAGACCGCCATTATGGATCGCATGATTGAGCTGGGCGCCGATGTGGGAGCCCGGAATAATGTGAGTCTTGACCGGGGATATATATATGTGGCTAGGAATAATTTAAAGCACATCAGCCAGCTCTCCATTGTGTTGGGGCCAAAAATAGAGGCAACCCAGCTGTTTAAACGAGCTGCGGCAACAAAAGCCGCTAAAAATGTGTCAAATCAATAAAAACCGCATAATTAAATCTCGAGCGGGGGCGTCGGTGGGTGAACCCGAGCACCCACTTCTACGCACGATTCTCACGCACCACTCACCCCCGTCAATACCTCAATTCGGCAATATCTCCATGCCCCAATGGGTCAACTGAACTGAGCTTGGCCATTGGTCGATCCACGAGGAGTTTACTTTATTTGGCTCCACTTGAGTTGAGTTTTCCAGCACGAAAGGGAATTTCCTAAAGGAAAAGAAAAACAAATATTTTGGTTTTATAACTGCTGTTGACGTAGAAATTTAAATCACTGTTTTGGCAATCAAAAAGGGTTAAGGACTGAATTAACATAATATTAGGGTTTAAAGTTTTAATTTAATTTCATTTTTAATCTAATTTTCAATAGGTAAAGAGCAAAACTTTGAAATTTACTCATAGCCAACTAAAGTAGAAACCCCTTGCCTTCCACTTTTTTATACAAGTACAAAAAAAGAAAAAAAATATTTAAACCGATAACTTGTCATTATCTATCTCAAATTAACCAGAAAAAAAGTGTAACGAGTAGAGATGAAAGGTCATCGTTGATGTTTATGCTGATTTCTTTTGCAATTTACCATCGTGATTATTGCCACTTCTTTTTTGAATGTCAAAAAGTGAAGTGAGCAAAGTTGCCATCGTTCATTAGGCCAAGTTGCTAACAATTGGTTGAATTCGTTGGCCAGCTTTCTTCGCATGCCTCAATTACTTAGCAAATTTCACTTCAAGTCGGTTTTTTGGCTGAGCATTCACATGTCCTTACGTATACGCAACGTACTTTATTTCGGGGCTTGTGGCGATAAAAATCCTTGACCTAATTACAAAATAATTGTTGCCAAACCAGTGCAGACATGGCGAATTGAATTACCAAAACAAACACAGAAAGTTCAATTTTCTTACCCTCCAGGAAAATGCCCCCCGAAATGGACGATTGTTTGCTCAAGTTAAAGAAAGTGTAGGGAAATGTTAAAGGTAAATTTGCACATGAATGTAATAAAACATGAACAAGCTGGAAAATACAAGCGAACCATGAAAATATGGGACACGATAGGATTTTATTAGGGCAAAAGAATTTGTTTATTTTACAACGTGTTTTTATAGGTGTTTTAATTATAAATAATCATATTTATCATCATAACTAAAATATTAAATCCAAAGAGATTTCTTAAGTACCATTGTTTATTCACATGTGAACTTTAATTGTTTAAATTAAAGTTTTAATGGTGGCTAATCACAAGAGATTTTTTTATTTTTCCAAAATATTTATTTATTTTAATTACTCATTTTTATTGCTCTAAATGAACGATTTTCTCATGCATGATGGCATCATTTTGGTTTTGTTTTTGTGCAAATTAAAAATACGACATCCGCTTCATGTTATTATAAAAAGCGCACCTTTTTGAAACCCGTATCATTACCTCATCTGGATAATTACTCTTTTTTTAACGCAAATGTCACTCCGTGACTAACTCGGATAATTTCACATACACTGACCAAATTAATTAAAAACTTGGCCCGTGGCCGAGAGAAATGTTTATTGCATTTACAACTCCCAACTTATCTAACTGTCGGACCAAAGTAATTCTTATTCTGCACGACAACTCCAGGACCATTATGACCATTATAAAGAATACTTGTATGATGTAACGCCAGGCTAATTAACATTTTTAACTTTTCAACTCCAAGGTGCCGTTTTTCGCTTCTTTTTTTTTGGGACCTGACTGAGAGGCGTGTTTGCAACACCTCTTTGCAACTTAAAAGCCAATTAATCAAGCACATGACTCCGACTTACGCCCAGTTGGCCAAAAGCCAGTTTGACCTTTCGAGTGGCCTAAACCGGAGACCTCGACGTCGGGCCCGACTTCCGCCACATTTTTATGGCCAGCGGCGTCATTAATATGCAATTTTAATTAAATTCAAGCCGAGCACTTCACGCAGTGACCCTCCATATGTGGGGCGATGACAGCGTGAAATAAAATGAGGAATAAAAACGCCAAATTCATTTGTCACGTTGCCTTAGTGCGTGAGTAAAGCAATCGCTCCGAAAAAAAGAAGAAATTAATTAACTCCATTTGCCGCAAGTGCAAATGCATAAATGTGTGAGAGGGTAATGGCAAATAAGCTCCGTAATGAGGACTTGCAATTATTTTAAAGAAGGTGTGTGACATCGCCAGAAAATGACTTCATATAAACGTGACGGCACACTCCTTGAGTATCCGAGTATCTCCGGGCCGTAAAAACAGCCACGAATCTGGGTCGACTTCGTCCACCTTTCTCTCCCTTTGGCTGGGTAAAAATGTGCTGGAAAATTTGCGCTTCCGTTTTGGTTTTGTTTCCGGTTTTTCCTTTCGCCCCGGCAAGCAAACACAAACACGAGACTAGAAAACGAACTCGAACCGGGCTCAAAAGTATGCAAAACAGCGCGTGAAATATTATCTGTCTACCTTGGACCCCTTGATACCCCTCGATTCCCTCTCAACGTGGCTCACAGTTTGCTTTGGTTTTTCTTTCGGGCCAACGTCTTGGATTGGCTTTCTGGACATGTGTCAAAGCCGTCGACTCGAACGCCGCGGCTTTGTATGCAAATTAGCAGGAGCTGCGGCCAGAAATAGTCGCAAATAAACCGCAGAAAACTCGAATTTCACACGACACGAAGCCCACACACACTTACCAATTGGGAAAGTCCCAGGCGGAATTACTAAAGGGTTAGAATTCTCATGAAACACTCATATGTAGGAGTTTTAAGAATTATGGAAATTTACCCAAAGCGATACATTTTTTTAGTTTTCCATTTTTATTCCTTAAGTATAATAAAAAGGGATAAAAAGCCTTACAATAAGGTTTATTTAAAAAGCAATTCATTTTTGTACGTAAATATAAAAGTTTGGCTTGTATAAGTTAAAAATAATAATATTAAATAAAATAAAAGGATACCAAATTCTTAAAATCGTTGCATACTTTTCGGGTGCCTCACAATTTTTTTAACAGCGAAAATATAAGAATAATTTTATGATTACATTATACAAATAGGTAATAAATAAACGAATTTTAATGAAAATATAACTTTAATTTATAAAAACCATAGTTTGCTAAATTTTGTTCTTCGACTTGTAATTTTTATGCAAGTATGCTGATTTAATACTACCCATTTGCACTTACCAACCTGATGACAGGGCAAAAAGACCTTTCCTCCTGGTTATACCACTTACATATAGACGAAACCAGTTCACTTCCGTTCGGGTTGAGAACAATGGGCTTAGTTATAAATTAAGCCCATGGCCCACACCGGGCACACGGGGCGTATGTGTAACACGTTGCGTTATGGCTTATTATATAAGGCAATAAATATTGCCCCATGCCCCAATTCCCATCTGACTCACTTCAGTTTGAGTTCGCGGTTAACTTTATCGTTATCTTAAAGCACTTTTCGTTACGTTTCGGTGATTTGCCCAGGGTCATATTTTTGTACATACAATGTTATATTTTTTCGGGTTTTCCTGGCTTTTCCTGGCCATTGATGCAGTTTTTGCATGTGAGTTTGCGACTGGGCTGTGGCCATTAAGAAATCGGTCCGTAAGTGAAAGTCCGCATGCAAGATTGTGGCTTAAGTAATCAAGCCACTCCTTTTGCCCCCCAAGTGGCATGCAAAAGCAACTGACTTTGACCCATTGAACTGACCCAGCTCTTTGGTGTGGGCGGGCGTTTCCTGCCAATGAATTGCAATTGATTTCCCCACAACCTCTTCTCTTTGCAGGATAATTATAATGTGCTACACATTGCGGCAATGTATTCGCGTGAGGATGTCGTCAAATTGTTGCTAACAAAACGCGGCGTCGATCCCTTCTCCACCGGTGGCGTGAGTATTCCAATAGCTCTATATACTATATCCCCAAATAGTTGAGGTCGCGACACGTCAGGCGACACACTCAAAGTCTTGAGTTTCGAGTCTGTGCCTTCGAGTCAATGAAATCGCTGCATACCTTGCGGCTGCTGACAGCCCGATTCGCAGGCAATTTGCGGCTATTAGACGCATACTTCACCTGGCTAAAAAATAAAAAAAAATAAAAAACAAAGGTCAGAGCCAGGCGAAGATGCAACTTCGAGGTTCGCATGTTGCATGTAACTTTGGCGAGCCCGGCAATTAACTGGCGACAAGGTTAAGATGGTAATGTCTAGGCCCCGCTTAAAGAAACTTTAGTGGTTTAAAGGCTCAAAACATATAGTTGGTAAACAAATTTACAGGAAAACAGTAAGGATATTATTTTAAGTAGTGAGTTTTAAGGGGCATTACATTTTTGATAAGAAATGATTTACTTACTCACATCAGTGAATTAAACAGCAAATATTTGATCAGCAGGTTTAAAAAAGAATTTATATATTTATGGAAAATTTAAAACTGGGTTTAATATGTGTAGAGATAAAAACATAAAACAAAAACTTATTTTATATTGTTATTCTTTTCAATGGTATAAAGTTATTTTGAGTTTGTGTGCCTTAGTTCTGTTTAATCATTTATACTTTATGAATCTAAATTGTGTTATAAAACAAAAGAATGATGATATCACCAAGCATTTCATCATCACACGTATAATTAACAATGCATTTTAAATTTCAAGCTTGAAATATTTCTATAACTGTAGTTAATAACATTTTAATATGACGCCGTATAATATGTTAATCACATCGTTAAGATTTTTTTTTGGTGCAATTATTTCTCTAAGTTTATTTCTCGTGTCGGTTTTAATTTGGTTTTCTTTATTTTTTCTCGGCCGCAATGAGTTCGAGACTTGGTGATTTGGGGGGCGTCAGTTTAGCCGAAATTACTGATGGTTATCAGAAGAGAGCTCCGACCGTAGGTGGGAGCGAGAGGGGTGGAACTGCAGAAGCGAGACAGACAGATGCAAACTTTTGTTTTAGCAACAGCCAAGTTTGAAGTGTTCCGTTGGCGTGTGTGCGTGGCAAAAGGACTCCACATCCACATCCACACACACACATTCACAACCAACACCTGGCCCATGTTTCCCACACCTGCTGCTCCATTAATACACCTCTCTCGCTCACACCCACTGCGGCCTGCCAGTGGGAGTTCTTTATTATTTTTTTTTTCCGGCTGTCAATCTGTGATATGAGCGGGAGAAGCCCAAAAAAAAAAAGAAAAATGACACGAAATGTGCTTATAAACGCAAAAACGAGCCACTTGCTTATTCAGTAGCAATTGGAATTTTGAAGCGAATAGGAACCTGTTTTTTTAGGTGCGAACATTAACCACATAGAGTTCAGAGCAGCATATTAATTTCATGTAATAAAAGTGTGACCTTAAGCATAAGTGCGTATGAAGTGTGTCAAATATATTATTATTATTATATTTAATAAAATATAAATATCATTTACAGTCGCGTTCACAAACTGCGGTGCATTTGGTGTCGAGTCGGCAAACCGGAACTGCCACCAATATCCTCCGCGCTCTTCTCGCGGCTGCTGGCAAGGATATCCGCTTGAAAGCGGACGGCGTAAGTGTTACCAAGTGTGCTTGTGAGTGTGCCAGTGTGGCTGTGTGTGTGGATGGAGAGCCACAAGTGTTGGCCACCCAATTGATGCGGCTCTATCTTCGCTAGCATTCAGTACTTACTTACTCCCCAAAAGTAAGGCGATGTGAAGTGAAGTGAAGTACTCTCGACAGCGGTGCCAGGCAGTGCCAACGTAAACAAAGACTTAATAAAAATCACCAAAAAATATATATATTACAATAATGGCAACAACAAAATCGAGAGGGACTTGTAACATAAAGCAAACAAAATTTGTGGAAAAATCGATATGCAAAACCGCTCACCGTAAATGCATTTCGACTGCCTGGAAATCGGAAAAGGCCAAAAAAAGTTAATGCGGCTATTACACAGCAAGAAAAAGAGAAAGTCATCTTATGGTAGAATTTGAATTCCCTGCTTCTGAATATAAGTTTCTTGCCACTACTTTTGAAGCTTGGAATTAACAAAATAATAGGCTGTAATCATAAGGGTTTTCAAAAGCTTATTACAAGTAATAAATATAATATAATAGAGTTATAAAACTAAATTACATATTCCATTGAATTATTTATAAATGGTATTTCCTGTTCGATAAATCCACGAAATTCAAGATTCTCAGAAGCATTTGTTTAACTACAGAATTTAGTTAATGTCTTATATCCAAAAAATAATCTACAAATCATTTTTAGGATCACCAATTTATCTTCATTTTCCCACACTGTACAAATGAGGAGCTCTCACCACAGTGGGTAAGCCCCAGTGAGCGTTGAATTACCATCAAAGTTGTCGTCTTCGTCTGATTAACTTGGCTGTGTTAACCTGGGCTCCCGAGCCTTTTTTCAAGACCCCCTCGGAAATCTCAACTGAAATGCGGAACTATTTGTCGCATCACGTGCACGGGTGCAAATGCACAGGCGATATTTCCATTACGCACGCGAGGGGATCGCATAAATTTCCACCGAATTGCCATTGAACGATTGGGTGGAATCGGGGGATTTGGGGGGCTGATTGGGGAAATCGGGTGAAACCGATTGATTGTCTAGACAAAGTGCCTACCCACCTCGAATCGAGCTTCGATGGCTGCGGCAAATGGCAAACAGCAACTTGATTTAAATCAATTAGAGATAGGTGGAATGGCACTGTCAGGTGAAATTAGCCGGATAAAGTATTTAGCTTTCGATGCCATTCAGTTCGATTTGATTCGCTTTCCTTTTTTACACGCATATCTAGGGATATATATGTATACATCTTTGGGTGGTATTGTAGTTTCCCCCGCGAGGGCGCTCAACTCGTTGCCAACAACAAACAAATAACAAACCGAGGAAAACTCTACCGAAAAAAGGGGGTCAAGTCGCTGTACAACTTGATTTACTCGCCTTTCCTGGTAGATAGGGATAATGACTCCCCGTCACGCCCCTCTCACGCCACGCCCCCACCATCCACTATCCAAAAAAAAAACCCTGGTTGGTTTCAAAGTTGAAGCGCCAAAGTTGCGCAGTTGGCTAAAAATAGCGAAACATGTTGCCGTTAACACTTGAGGCTCGAATTGGCTAATTGGATATTTATGATTATACGCGTGTGTGTGTGTGTGTTTGTGTTATTCTGCCTGGATGTGTGAGTGTGTGGTGTCCTTATCTTAATTATTTTGTATACAATGTAAACCTATCTTCTACGTAGCGTGGCAAAATCCCATTGCTCCTCGCCGTGGAGTCGGGAAACCAGTCCATGTGCAGGGAGCTCCTGGCGGCCCAAACTGCGGACCAACTAAAGGTGAGTTATCTGAGAAACAATAACTAAACCTCCTTGTTTTTTTAAACACCTTAACACCTAAAAATAAGTTTATACAATTTTAAGTTCCTGATTTTTATTTTATTTGTTTTTATATCATAAAAAGATTTATGATGTCAAAGCATTGGAAGAACTATTTAATATATTTACAGGCCTAATATTTCCTTTTGTTAGTTAGAAAATAGTGAGACTTGGTCCCTTGAGACCTTGCTAAATAAATCACGTTTTCAATTTGATCTTAATCCCTAGGAAATTCCAACTAGTCTCCATACTTTCTACATGAATTTATCTCAAATCTACCCTTACGTCAATCAAAATGTCTTTCCTTGCTGTCAGAAAATGACAACATTTAGAGCCCTAAGAAAATAAAAGCTTAGGAAAAAATGAAAAGAAAATGTTAATTCCGTTTATTAGCCACTCAACGTAATTTCTGCAATATGCATAAGAACTTGTGGATCTTAGTGCCAATCAAAATGTCCAGCTGAGATGTCAGAAAATGTCCACAAGGCTTTTAAAGCCTTGAACTGTCCAACATGATTCTCGTGTAAATAAATCAAAAATGCAAATTTACCCCACTCAGCTACGCACCTTCACTTCACAGGTGCATGAAAAGTGCAACAGTGCGCGACATTGGCAAAGTTTGAGCAATTTTCAATCAGAAGTTGAAGTGCAACACATGCCAAGAGCAGTGCGTGTTGATTAAATTAACCAAAGGGCTTCGGCTCGCTTTAGGCCAAGGGTTCAAGCCAAAGTTTAAGTTAAAGTTGCGCCTGACTTTGGCCGCTGGCTGAGCACGCAATCAGCCGGCAAAACAGCCACAAACTGGGTCAAAAGTGAGGCGAAAACGCAGTTAAAAGGGGAGGGGAATCTGATTTGCATTGCCCAAAATAAAATGTGTTAAGTAAAGTGCAGTTTTAAGCACTTAGACAAAGGAGTTGCTAGTTTAAAACAGAAAAGACTTTATTTAACTATTAAAAGTACTATATTTTAATGGATTACTGTAAACCATTTAAATACCGTATACATTTGTATTTGTATTTAAAATTGCATATGTCTTTATTACTAAAACCTTTATAATAATTTGATATTTTAATTAAAACGAATTAAGACATGAATTTTTATAATTTATCAAGAAACTAAATTACATAATTTCTTCTCTGAGTGCACCATCTCATGCCTAATTTTGGTTTCGTTTTTTAACAGGCAACGACGGCCAATGGAGACACGGCCTTGCATTTGGCCGCCAGACGGCGGGACGTGGACATGGTCCGCATCCTGGTCGACTACGGAACGAATGTGGACACGCAGAACGGGGAGGGCCAGACGCCACTCCACATCGCCGCCGCCGAAGGTGATGAGGCCCTACTCAAGTACTTCTATGGCGTGCGCGCCTCAGCGTCCATTGCGGACAATCAAGGTGAGTCTGGGGAAAGTGGACCAAGGATACACGGATTAAAATCATTTTCACCTTGGTACTACAAGATAACAATAACGAAATTTTAAAATTCTCAATGGCATTTTGGTACATTTGAATATACGAGTGAAAGCAAGTTAGTTAAATTAAGACTAGGTCTATCTACCTTACATTTATACAAGCTATCCGGTTTTTTTATTTGGTGCTTAAAGTTTTTAAATAAAATTGTAACGATATCGGTTTTACCGAGATTAAAACATTAAAAGGATAACAAATAAACTGTCGGATTTAAGTTTAGTTTTAGTAGTTTTAGTCTTATGAAAAATGTTTGGCGCCCCCGTGGTTACGGAGGTCTTTACACATAATGAATATTTTGAAAACGTTGAAAATTAAATTGATTACCATTAAATTCAATATTTAACATATATCTATCTTAATCCCGACCAGATCGCACTCCGATGCACTTGGCCGCCGAGAATGGGCACGCGCACGTCATCGAGATACTGGCCGACAAGTTCAAGGCGAGCATCTTCGAGCGCACCAAGGATGGCAGCACGCTGATGCACATTGCGTCGCTCAACGGCCATGCTGAGTGCGCCACGATGCTCTTCAAGAAGGGCGTCTACCTCCACATGCCCAACAAGGATGGGGCTCGAAGTATCCACACCGCGGCGGCCTATGGCCACACGGGGATCATCAACACGCTGCTGCAGAAGGGCGAGAAAGTGGATGTGACCACCAATGTAAGTGGGCTTTAGTAGGTTTCCCCGATGAGTTACTTAATTATCACATTCCAGGACAACTATACGGCTCTGCACATAGCCGTGGAGTCCGCCAAGCCCGCTGTTGTGGAAACCTTACTAGGATTCGGGGCAGATGTCCATGTCCGGGGGGGAAAACTACGCGAGACCCCGTTGCACATCGCCGCAAGAGTGAAGGATGGTGATCGGTGTGCCCTCATGCTGCTGAAGTCGGGGGCCAGTCCCAATTTGACCACGGATGACTGCCTGACCCCGGTTCACGTGGCTGCCCGACATGGTAACCTGGCCACCCTGATGCAGTTGCTCGAGGACGAGGGAGATCCGCTGTATAAGTCAAATGTGAGTGGGGAGCTCTCTTTTAATTATATATTTATGTTAGTAATATATCTCCATTTTTCAGACTGGTGAGACACCCCTCCACATGGCCTGTCGAGCCTGCCACCCAGACATAGTGCGTCATCTGATCGAGACGGTGAAGGAGAAGCACGGTCCGGATAAGGCCACCACCTACATAAACTCGGTGAACGAGGATGGCGCCACGGCGTTGCACTACACCTGCCAAATCACCAAGGAGGAGGTCAAGATTCCCGAATCCGACAAGCAGATCGTTCGCATGCTCCTCGAAAACGGAGCGGATGTCACGTTGCAAACGAAGAACGCATTGGAGACGGCCTTCCACTATTGCGCGGTGGCCGGAAATAACGATGTGCTGATGGAGATGATCTCGCACATGAATCCCACGGACATCCAGAAGGCCATGAACCGGCAGTCCTCGGTGGGTTGGACACCACTGCTCATCGCCTGCCATCGCGGACACATGGAGCTGGTGAACAATCTCCTGGCGAACCACGCTCGAGTGGATGTCTTTGATACGGAGGGAAGATCTGCCCTGCATTTGGCAGCGGAGCGAGGATACCTGCATGTGTGCGATGCCCTGCTGACCAATAAGGCCTTCATTAATTCCAAGTCACGCGTGGGACGCACGGCCCTGCATTTGGCCTCGATGAATGGGTTCACGCATCTGGTGAAGTTCCTGATCAAGGACCACAATGCGGTCATCGACATCCTGACGCTGAGGAAGCAGACGCCGCTACATTTGGCGGCGGCCAGTGGGCAGATGGAGGTCTGCCAGCTGCTCCTCGAACTGGGCGCCAATATCGATGCGACGGACGATTTGGGACAGAAGCCCATCCACGTCGCCGCCCAGAACAACTACTCTGAAGTGGCCAAACTCTTCCTGCAGCAGCATCCCTCCCTGGTGAATGCCACCAGCAAGGATGGCAACACCTGTGCCCACATCGCCGCCATGCAGGGATCCGTCAAGGTGATCGAGGAGCTGATGAAGTTCGATCGATCGGGTGTGATTTCGGCACGGAACAAGCTCACCGATGCCACGCCCCTGCAGCTGGCCGCCGAGGGCGGACATGCGGATGTGGTGAAGGCTCTGGTGAGAGCAGGTGCCTCCTGCACGGAGGAAAACAAGGCGGGCTTCACCGCCGTCCATTTGGCGGCCCAAAATGGGCATGGTCAGGTCTTGGATGTGCTGAAAAGCACAAATTCCCTGAGGATCAATAGTAAAAAGCTGGGATTGACGCCGCTTCACGTGGCTGCCTACTATGGACAGGCGGATACGGTGCGGGAACTGCTGACCAGTGTCCCAGCCACTGTGAAATCGGAGACGCCAACGGGACAGAGTTTATTCGGGGATCTGGGCACTGAGTCCGGGATGACACCACTCCACTTGGCGGCCTTTTCCGGGAACGAGAACGTGGTGCGACTGCTCCTCAACTCCGCGGGTGTTCAAGTGGATGCGGCGACCATCGAGAACGTAAGATATAATGGATTTCTCTTGAAGATAAAGACTTAACACCTTTTACAGTCGAACTTCAATAACTTAAAAATAATAAAACTAACTGGTACTATGTTTAAAAGACTATTTTATCTTTAATATTCAAACTTTCGTAACTATCATTTTTCAAAAACTTTAATTAGTTTTTATAATTAAATGTACAACTAATGTTATAATCTATTCCGTAATCTTAAAACCGGTAAAAAAAATATGTATAGTTTAAACCTGAAGAAACATTTTTCCTCTTACTCAAATCCTACTTCAATCTATCCTGTAATATTTATCAAGATTTGGAAATGGTCAAAATGAAGCAAATATTAAACCTGAAAAAGTATTTTCCCCTCTACAAAGTCTCTATAACTCAAATAATAATCGGAGCTTTGTGGTAAAAGTTATGAAAGTTCGACTGTCCCACCTTTTGAGAAGCCTTTTAACCATTAACTTATCCTACAGGGCTATAATCCACTCCATTTGGCTTGCTTCGGCGGACACATGTCAGTGGTCGGTTTGCTCCTGAGTCGGTCGGCGGAACTCCTCCAGTCGCAGGATCGTAACGGCAGGACGGGCCTGCACATCGCCGCCATGCATGGCCACATCCAGATGGTGGAGATTCTGCTCGGCCAGGGCGCGGAGATCAACGCAACCGATCGGAACGGTTGGACGCCACTGCATTGTGCTGCCAAAGCTGGCCACTTGGAGGTGGTGAAGCTGCTGTGCGAGGCGGGTGCCTCTCCGAAGTCGGAGACCAACTACGGTTGTGCCGCCATTTGGTTCGCCGCCTCCGAAGGACACAACGAGGTCCTGCGGTACCTGATGAACAAGGAGCACGACACCTACGGCCTCATGGAGGACAAGCGGTTCGTCTACAACCTGATGGTGGTGTCCAAGAACCACAACAACAAGCCCATCCAGGAGTTCGTCCTGGTTTCGCCAGCTCCAGTGGATACGGCCGCCAAGTTGTCCAACATCTACATCGTTCTCTCGACGAAGGTGAGGTGTCCTTAACAGATTTTCTTTCATTTTATGGGGTCTTAGTAAAACAATTAATAGTTATGTTGAATACATTTTAAAAGAACGTCTTGGGGGACTTAGGGACTTAAATATTCTTTAGTTTAATATATTTTGAAAGTTTACAGTACATTATTTTGAAAGTTTAAACAATTAGCCATATAAAAAGTGTAATTAGTTCGTTAAAACATTTCCGCGTAGGAATATCTTTAAAATTAGTTTTCAGATAATATTCTGGTAATTTTTTCCGCAATCCAAAAATAAATTGCTAATGACTGCCCTTTCGTCCCTATAGGAAAAAGAACGCGCCAAGGATCTGGTGGCTGCTGGCAAACAGTGCGAGGCAATGGCCACGGAACTTTTGGCCCTGGCAGCTGGCTCTGATTCCGCCGGAAAGATCCTGCAGGCCACCGACAAGCGGAACGTGGAGTTTCTCGACGTCCTCATAGAAAATGAGCAGAAGGAAGTGATTGCCCACACGGTGGTCCAGCGATACTTGCAAGTGTGTGATAAAAAGATTACTAGTTGAGCTAAGATTAAATTAAATTTTTTTTTATTTTGTAATAGTTTTCTTAATTTTTTAAATAGTATATTTTTTCTGTATAACTTAATATATATAAAATTTTCATATGGATTCTTCCTCTCTTTTTTAGGAACTCTGGCACGGATCACTGACGTGGGCCTCCTGGAAGATCCTGCTGCTGCTCGTGGCCTTCATAGTCTGCCCACCGGTGTGGATCGGGTTCACCTTCCCGATGGGCCACAAGTTCAACAAGGTGCCGATTATCAAGTTCATGTCGTACCTCACCTCGCACATTTACCTCATGATCCACCTGAGCATCGTGGGCATAACGCCCATCTACCCGGTACTCCGACTGAGTTTGGTGCCCTACTGGTACGAGGTGGGCCTCCTCATCTGGCTGAGTGGCCTGCTGCTGTTCGAGCTGACGAATCCGTCGGACAAGTCGGGACTGGGATCGATCAAGGTGCTGGTCCTGCTGCTGGGAATGGCCGGCGTGGGTGTCCATGTGTCGGCCTTTCTCTTCGTTTCGAAGGAGTACTGGCCCACGTTGGTATACTGCCGCAATCAGTGCTTCGCATTGGCCTTCCTGCTGGCCTGTGTGCAGATCCTGGACTTCCTGTCCTTCCACCACCTCTTCGGACCCTGGGCCATCATCATTGGGGATCTGCTGAAGGATCTGGCCCGGTTCCTGGCCGTGTTGGCCATCTTTGTGTTTGGCTTTTCCATGCACATCGTGGCCCTGAATCAGAGCTTTGCCAACTTTTCGCCGGAGGATCTGCGCAGCTTCGAGAAGAAGAACCGAAATAGAGGATATTTCAGCGACGGTAAGTCGAAACGTTTGCTTTGCTTCCTCCCGTCTACTGTTTGTCAATTTTGATTTCCAACTTTTTCATTTTCATTTGGAATGTTTTTGCAAACTTCCTCTTTTGAACGTTCAATGTGTCTTGATAAGTATCTGTGTCTGCCTTGAATGAAAAGCCATCTAATCTGTGTGTGCTCGATGTTTCACAAAAGTAAATAATACAAAAAAGAACCAACTACAACCACATAATACAACAATTGCATGCTCAACAAGTACAAAACAACCTGAACCTCCAACCTTGATGTCGTAATCCCCGTCCCACCTCCCCCCTTAAGAAAATAAGACCTCCACTAATAATGTTCTCCCTCTGATCTTAACCCCTAACTGAAAATCGAACTGAATCCGAATGGAACAGATGACATGCCCACCCCTCGACCTCCGCCCGTGGAGAATTATGTCGATAGTCGCTTCAGCGAATTCCGGCGAAAGCACAAGGACGACCGTAAGTCTCCGCCAATCAACGCCCACCCACTACTACTACCACCCTACCTCCCCCTCAACTCCCGCCTTTTGCATGGCCCCCGATTTTTGGGGGGCTGCCCCCGCCCTTAACCCCCTAATGCCGAATGCCGGAATCGAACCCGTTGCGTTGCCGCCTTCGATGTTGTGCGTAAAGTTTTATTGTCGTTTGTTTTCCAGTTCCTTGGAACATCCACAAGTCCGCACTCGCTGCTCGAAATCCCCTCTCGCCTTGCTCGTTTCAGTTACTTTCGTTTTGAGGCATGTTCGCGGGAAATCCCCTTTCCGCATCCTCGATGTTGTGGATCTGTGTTTTCATAGGTATCCTTGCGCTAAGCTTTATCATTTGGTTTTTGAGTCTGATTTTCTTTTCCTTTCTTTGATGTTCATTTTATTTTTATTTCATTCTTTGAATTGTTTTGAACAGGGTTTTTTGAAAATATTTTTAATTTGGGCTTGTCTTAACCAAGCTAAATTTCTTTAACGTTAAAAAGAAATAAAAACATAGTTTCCTAGTTTTATTCAATATGCTTTCGTTGTCCGTGTTTGCCATAAAAGTATTTTTAAAATTTTAAAGCATGTTGTTAATCAAAATTTTGAAAAGACTTAAAATAACTTTAACTTTAAAATAATAAATAGTTAAATACATTAAAGTACTATTTTTGTAAGTATAAGTGCTAGTTCAAACTTACTTTAAAGCCTTTTTTTAATGAGTTATTAAAATTGACTGTGATTGTTTTTTAGAATTATTTGGAGCTAAAGATATTTGTTTTTAAGAGATTTACTACTTCAATTGTTTTTTTTTCATTTGAATTTTTAAGTTTTTTCATCATAAGTTCTTTACATTATTTTTGTCGATGTGTAACCAAAACGATACCGATTAGAACTTTGTACAAACTCAAAATTCCAGTACTGCATGTTGATGTTTTAACCCAGTCAATCCAATCAAAATCAATCAATCAGCAATATCGATATAACCAATGCCCGCCTGCCTGGGGCTTTCAGCTTGCGCCGCTTGCCCACCACCAAATTCTGCACAATCGAAATAATCGAAACCGATCGAGTCGAATCGATAACGTAAACGATAACGCTACTGATACCGATACCGATGCCGATACTCGTATTGGTGAGTCATTCGAACCGCTCAGCTGCGAACTGCGAGATGCTGCTTTTGACGTGTTTAACCACTCACCCGCACTCTCCAATAAATCCAAACCAATCAAAAATCCACCATAAATATACTCGTTTATGTAAACTTCAAAATAACCAAGCCAATCAACAAAAAAAATATCCAAACTCGCACACACGCCTGTGCCAAGCCGACAATATATATCCAATATATATATATATGCTAGCTGCAGCAACGCAAACGCTATAGTTCAGACATATCTGATTGTGAGTAACGTTCCGTTCGGACCCATTTGGTTAGGACCCATGACGCCCTTTCTGGCTTTCGAGCGCCTCTTCTTCGCGGTCTTCGGACAGACGACCACCCTGGACATCAATCCCATGCGACACTTGCGTCCCGAGTGGACCGAGGTGCTCTTCAAATTTGTCTTTGGCATCTACTTGTTGGTGTCTGTGGTTGTACTCATTAACCTGCTAATTGCCATGATGTCGGATACTTATCAGCGCATTCAGGTTTGTATTGCCAAGGCCACTAATATGTATTTTCTCTCTGCTTTTCCCCCTCTTCCCCCCCCGTTTTTTGATTTTTATTTCCGTTCTTTTTGGAATGCTATTTATGCTTTGTTTTGTGGTAACAACCCCAAACTGACCGCTGAAATTGAACCACAATTGGCCATAAAAACCGAAACCGGGGGATGGTTGGTCGTTCGGACACATCGACGACAAATTATTAAAATCGAATCAACCAACCTGGGCGTCCGTTATCTTTTTATTTTTCAAAATAATTTCCGCGCCGGCCAATATGATGTGCGTGCTGTCCGGGGGTGTCTATTTGTATCTGTATCTGAATATGTATCTGTATCTGGAAATGTATCTATGGGGCTCCGGACACAGTGCGCATGCATCCGATAAACTCGTTCGAGTTGTTGTTCTTCGCCGTGTTCGGACAAACGACGACCGAGCAAACGCAAGTTGACAAAATCAAAAATGTAGCCACGCCCACTCAACCGTATTGGGTTGAGTACCTGTTCAAAATTGTCTTTGGCATTTACATGTTGGTGTCGGTGGTTGTGCTCATTAACCTGCTGATTGCTATGATGTCAGACACCTATCAACGCATCCAGGTAGTATTGCTAAGGCGCTTTTACCTAACTCGAATATTTTTATTAACTCTTACTCTAACCATAAGTTAAGTATCTGATTGATATAGTACATTGAATATTAATCCTCCTCTTTTTCAGCGAGCAGTATAAGAAGTAAAGTGAAATATTTATCAAGCATATTTATATTATCTTCTCTAGCGTATTTTTGATAGATTAATGTTTGAAATCTGATGGTTAGCTAAATAAGCATATATAAATATCCCATTAATGCTCAATTTATAGTTAACCGATGGTTAAATGAAGAATATAAAAAGCTCTATTAGAAGATTGTTTATAACTAACCTAATCAACCCTACCAAACTTAACCGGACATTGAGAAACCGGAAATCATTTGAGACCTTGGCATGCTCTGTAAATCCATCAACTGCCCAGACTTGCATCTTCCAGGTTTTTTCAGGAAAATAAAGTTAGCAATCTAAGAGATACTTTTTTTTGTGAAACTGTATCTCAAAGATGGAAGCCTGCCGCCTTCTAGTTTAGTACAGTGCAGACTAGCTTTAGTGGATTAGCGCCTAGAAGTGTTTTCTGCTTTTGTGACCAGTGTTGAGCAAGGCCAAACCAAGGAGTGTTGGTTAATGCATGCTTTTGAAAAATATATATATAGAAATCGTTGCTGCATGTCTATGTGTCTGTGTTTGTCACTGCCTAGGATTTAAGTCTGACGAGATACACCAATATAGTGGCAGGTTTTGTATGGTAATTTTTAGAAGCTTAAGGAAATTTCCATTCAAAACAGGACTCTGCATTTGTGTATTTCTATTATTAACTACCTGATTTTTGCAGCTCTTAAGTTACGTATTAACGATGTAAACAAAAATGTAAATTCCTAGGCTTCAGTTCACGAATCTCATCCCGTGTATTCCTTTGTTCTTGTTCTCCTCCTATACATCATGTCTCCATCCATCCAACATCGCGCACTCCGCTAACAACTAAACAAACAAAAAAACCTATGAAATACTAGGCCCAATCCGACATCGAGTGGAAATTTGGCTTGTCCAAGCTTATACGCAATATGCATCGCACCACAACAGCGCCCTCGCCGCTTAATTTAGTTACCACCTGGTTTATGTGGATCGTCGAGAAGGTCAAGGTAAAATCTCAGGTGACAAAAGCCGCCTCCCAGCCGCTGTCGCTCTCTCTCTCTCCTGTATCTTGTATCCTGTATCCTGTTTCCGTATCTGTTGACCATATCTGATCTGTGCAACTACCAGAACCGAGCCTGAACGGGTGTAGTTTGCTGACCTTTTCCCCAACCCATTTAAAGCAATTTGGCAACAACCGCAAAGAGTTCCATCACCGTGAATGCTTTAAGTGTGTTGCCCACCCAACAAATCACCTTTTACACTTGACACTTATTCTGTGATTTCAACATACAGCAGGCAATCGAAATGGAGATCAATAAAATGGGGTGTAGGGTTTTGCAATTACCTATAAAGGTGTCTAAATGGAAAAAGGAATGTCGTCATATTTAAGTACTTTTGACTTCCCTGCTCAAAATACTTTTAGACACCTTTATAAAAAATTTTATTTTTTTATTCTTCTTTTTTTTTTTATTCCATGAAATCTGTTTAGTGGCTTCTGAACTTAACCTAGCGTAATTAACGAGAAAGAGTTTTATGGATACATAGTAGCCTTAAATACTAAGTAAAAAAAAAAAAAACCTTGTGATTTCTGTACCACTCCCCTTATATTTCATTTAAAATATAAGATCAATTACCTAACTCATTCGATTGCTTACTGTGTGCCACTTAAGATCAAGCACCTTGCACCTAATTGCTTTCGATGTAATTAACAATTGCTGACTGCGTTTATGTTGTGTCTCTTGTCTTGTATGTGACCTATGTCCCGTGTCTAATGCGCCTTGATCTAACCCACAAACCTGAAATCCTGCAACCTGCAACCTGCAACCCCACAAACACGCGCCTCAGGCACGCATGAAGAAAAAGAAGCGTCCAAGTCTGGTTCAGATGATGGGAATACGTCAGGCCAGTCCGCGAACCAAAGCCGGCGCCAAGTGGCTGTCGAAGATCAAGAAAGGTGAGACATGTATGTATCGCTGCTGGGCTACCTCTGACCAGAACCCGAGTATCCTGGGAATACCAACCCATCCGAGGGGTTTTGTAGCTAACAGCGTGTCAGCCCAAGTGTAACTCTCTCTATTCCATCAGCTCTTCTGTCTGTCTTGCTATCTTTTCTCAACTATCTTCTGTGAATGATTGGCTCGCTCTAGCTCAAAATTCTTTCCTCAACTTTCGACTTTCCCTTTTTATACAATAAGATAAAAGCGCCATGAATTAAGAAGTGTACTTCGATATTTGTACGATTATAAACTATTTGAATGCTAATTTTCAGACATCAAAATTTTTAAACTGAAAATATCCATGTAATATCCCAATTGTTAACTTGTTACTTACAGACGTTATAATTTATAGTCTAATATTTTTAAGAATACCGGAGATATTTATAGTAATTTAAATTCTCTGTAAAGTTTTAAAAATTAACCACCGAGTGATGAACAAATTGGTCGCAGTATTCTATTTAATGCTGCCAATTTAAGAGCAACTAAAATGGAAATGTTAAATACTTAGTATTGAAAATATAAAATTATTTTGAATAAGAAGTTAAGATTCCTGGTGCTTTTACCTCAGTGCATCTTATTGGACAATGGAACCCATTTGCTAATGATTTTTCCTTAAATTCCTAGACTCGGTGGCCCTGTCTCAGGTCCATCTTTCTCCCCTGGGATCGCAGGCCAGCTTTTCGCAGGCCAACCAGAATCGCATCGAGAACGTGGCCGACTGGGAGGCGATCGCCAAGAAGTACCGGGCTCTGGTGGGCGACGAGGAGGGTGGTTCGCTGAAGGACTCGGATGCGGAGAGCGGATCGCAGGAGGGCAGCGGGGCGCCACAGCCGCCGGCACAGGTGGGCAGACGAGCCATCAAGGCCGCCCCGGCAAACACTACAAAGAAATAAATGCACCCAGAAACGACACAAAAACAACACAGAAACGACACAGAAACTGCACTTTGGATCGATTATTAACTACGTTTTGATTGCAGGTCTAAGCTTCAACCTATCTCTTCCAACTATCCTTCCTGACTATCTCTATCTCTTCTCGACTATCCAAGCGTCTGTCCTTCTGTACTCCTAAGATCTAACCCTAAGAAACTCTATCGCTAAGTTGCACTTGAGGGATGGTTTTCTCAGGCTCCGGTTAACTTAAAATTGTCTGTGGACTTTAACCCGCACCTTAAGCTTAACTGGAGTACACGAAAGCAATCCTGAAATACTTAAGCTAAGCCTCCACTTCCTAAACTAATTTTAGCTAGAATATTGAAATTGTTTTGGGTAACTTTTGAAGCGCAACGAATTATTTATTTTGATATGATTTTGTGTCGGCGATTTCTACGATAAACGAAACAACAAAACAAGTTTTCCATGTTTGAGATTTTTGAAATAAGTAAGTTTACTCGTCCTTTTTGGACCACTTGAATACGTCCACTTTGCCCTACATTTTTTGAAACGAACTCCTAGCATTTTGTATTAAGCTGATAATTCCGACGATCGACCGATCGACCTTAGCGTTAATTATAATTATCTTAGCTAGTAAGTACGAGACTCTAGCTTCACTCGGAGCTAAAGGGCAGTCGGTTTTATAATAATATCGCATAATCTCATTGTTTTTGGGTAACTGTCAAGTAACTACATCCACTTTATTTACTAAGCTTGATTCCTTTTATATAAGAAATGTATGCCTTAAAATTGTTAACTGTACTTGAATGTAAATAAATAAGCCATATTTTAAAACATTCTTTCATTAATTATTTTTAATAATTATTCGATTTTTGGAGATTATGGAATGGTAGCAATACAAAAAATCAAGAACAAATTCATTGTTTGTAATTAAGTCCATTTTTAAAATATAGCAATTCGAAATTTGAATAATGGCGCCAAGAAATTATGTTTGACCTTTTTTCCAACAATAATCTCATAGCGCCGTGCAAAAGAAGCGCGACATCTAACGGTGTTTTGTGGAACCACGAACTTTAGGGTTCAACAAATTTCCGCTAGATGGCCAAATCCTGCTTGTGTAAAATGTATGTTACTCAGTATGTAAAACTAATAATATTAATTAATTATTTTAATAATAAGTTACTGAATATTTACGAATTATTTGGGTCCCATTGTACTTTTACTCTTTAAAACTTTAAGTCAGTTAAAAACCATAATAATTACTTTGTTCACAAAATTCTGAATAATGTGGTCTTCGTCTAAAAACATTTTTAAAATGTAACTTTCAAACATGTACCTTACTCTCAAGGGATAAACTTTAATAATTAATAAATGCTGGATTTATTTAAAAATATGTAGCTTTTGTAATTCCTTTGCTCTAAAACAACAAGCAATAATATTTGTCAGAAAACGTATGATTGCCTGGGAAAACTGCTAAATGGCGTAGAATTCTCTCCTTTAAACCATGTTATTATGGCCATAAAGCTAAGAACGGGCCATAAAGTTTTCTTAATTTGCCTGCTGAATTGACAGATTACCAGGGGACACACATACGTCATTAGCCGGGGCAGCAGAAATGCAGAAACCGCATCGGCAAATTGACCAAGGTGTTGAACTTCGAAATTGCATTTTAATTTGGCTTCAAGCTGCAGGTTGTTGCTGTTTCGATTGCAGGTGTCACAGTCTGTTTAAATGTGTTGAAAACCTCAAGTGGTCACTGGTTGTTGCTGCACTTGCACTCGTATTATTACACATAATTGCCCGTTGTTGTTGACATTGTTGCTGTGTTGCTATGTTGCTCTGTTGCAGTTGCAATTTCTGTTGCCGCTTGTGCTTGATATTTGCCACAGATAAAACATACGAAAACGAAAAGCAAACGAGTTTCTGACCGTTGCCAAGGTTTATGGCCACAAGCGTGTCAATTTAAGTTGCAATTAGGCAGTTAATAAATTCACCGATTTGGCCAGTCAGATAAACGCCTAGATGCCAGCTGATTAATGCCACTTTCCCAGCGATTCGGTAGCTGCAACCGATTCCCCAAAAAGGTAGAAACACCCAAATGGATTCCAATCGGAGATGCTGGCAATGGCGATGCTGTCCGTCATCCATCAAAGGTTTCTTCGGACCAGGAAGCATTCCCGATTCGATCCGATCCGATCCGGGCATTCACATGCAACATGTGTGTGGTGTGTTGGCACAGCAGGTGACATTTCCAGGCCAGATCAGGAAAATGTAAATAAATGATCGGACAACGGACAACGGACGAGACACCCATATGAACACCCAGGCAACAACACGACATGAAGCAAGTTGTACCTGGTTGTTCATGTTGCTCTTGCTGTTTGCTGTTGCTGTTTGGTGTTTGCTGTTGCTTTGATATACAAAACACTTTTTCATATCGAAATTTGTGATAGGCCGTGATTAATGGCGAGCGACACAAACACTTAATTTGACGCCAGGCCCGTAGCTGGCGCCTTGGGGAAATGGCAGCGATCCGAACGCAAACTCCTCGAGTACACAGAAAGAAATACATATATAATTGATAGAGTTTCATAACAAAATAGCCATATAAAAGGATTAAACAGGTATTGAATTCTGCACACTAGATATTTTGGTTTGCTTGCTTTTAAAAACAACCCAATAAAATAATAGTTTATAAATATCCAGGGTTTTTGTAACAAGTTTATATCGTTTATCTCAACTATATCTTGATACTGTTTGTTAAAACCAATTGGTGATATATTAAATATGAATTACAATTTTTTCTATCTAAAGCTAACTTTGAGGTAAACAAAAATATTTTATCAGCCCTAATACTTAAGTAATGCTAGACCCAACTTATATTTTCTACAACCACTTTATAAATAGATAAATTTCTTTCCGTGTGACTTTGGATTAGCTGCTGGTTCGCTGGCTGGGAGAAACAATAATCTCGGGCAAGATTAATTATTGTAATCACATCAACAGCAGAGCCATGCGAACGGATTCGGATTCGGATTTGGAATGGGAGTCACAGAAAAACCAACACGAAAATGATCAATGATCATCGCTGCGTTCTCTGTTGATTTTTATAGCGAACGCCCGATCGCAGGCCTGGGTTACACATTTCATTGGCTAATCAAGATGCTAATTTGAAGAAGATTAATTTGTGTGCGAGTTTCTGACTGCCTGCCAGGCATACCCGAAGATCCGAAGATTATAATCTGCTAAGCAAGAGGAAACTGAAGGCTTATTATTAATACAGGCCAACGCAGCCCCCAGAAATGTGTCTTGTATTTAATTAAATACGCGTGCACTGGAAAATAAGATTCAATGGAAAATATAAGATATCAATTTAGCGTTTTATTGTTTACATTTTAGTTTCGAAATATAAAAAAACCATTTCTATAAATACAACTTGTAAATTGCTGTTATAAATTTATTATATCATGGGACGAGTGTATCTTGATCGTATATTTTTTGCCATTTAGCAAGATCCCAGAAATGGAGAGGGATTTGGGTGAGTGTTGTGTTGGCTGTGCAGTGACACGCAGATTAATTGAAATTTTATGAGTAGCGCAGACGTAAACAATCAGCGAGACCACCTTTTGCCAGCCCCTAAGGTCATAGGAGCTCGGCCAGATCGCATATCCAGGCTCCGACTCCGACTCCGAATCCGAATCCGAATCCACTAACTGGCCAAGTCGGCGGTGCAACTTGGCGTCGGACAGCTGTGGCTCACCCCGTGGCCAAAAGAAACTTGCAACATTATGAAAAATGGACCACAACCATGCACAGTGGTTGACAAGTAACCCTTTGGGTTAGATCGAAGCTTTTAAGCTTAGGTATTCGGATGTCTATTTAAATGACAATCAATCAAAAAATGGAACCAATAAGAACCATTTTCTTATAATTTTGGTAAATGTGGTGGCCTATCTTATCTGCAATAACCTAATTTATTGAACTTGAGATAAGTTTAACTTAACTGGGATCAGAAAGCTAAATATTTTTAGAAAATGTTATATCTTTCTTCCCGTTTATATACATTTTATGACGTTCTAAATTTGATTTCCAGAAACTCTTACGTAAAGCTATTTAAATACTTTAAAAACACTTATTACTACTTAGTAAGCAATTGTTTCTTTTAATGTGTTGGAAATATATTTAAAATTATTTTTAAAATTTATACAATGTTCCCTTCTTGACTCTTGTTATTACCACTGTGCCCCATGATCCTGCTGACGCGATCGCCACGCTAATTGATAGACTGTGAAATTATTTAACAACGGCTGGAAAGTGAGCCGGGCGAGGTTGTGGCCCGAAAGGAGCTTCCAAGCGTGGCCAGATGGGTCAGACGGCATTCGACCCGGTCATCAAGACCTGGGTCGGCACTTCTTTTGGTGGCTCTGGCCCCTGGCCACCCATCCACAGCCATCCACATCCATCCACGCGAGGAGCTGGACTCGGGGCTAAGTGAAAAGTGTTAAAAAGCGCGACTCACGGCGGCCAGTTGTGGCGGATTTGAAGACAAATGAGCAGCGGCTTTTGACATTTGCGAAATTTGAAATGTCAGCCGGGAAGCGAAGAGCTTCCACCTTGACGAAGGTCCCGAATGGGAGGTCCCCGGATCCATGGCGGATCGCCACGCGAAGAATTCAAATTAAAACCCAGGTGAAAGGTTATTAATTTGCAAGTGGAACTGGGGCGTAGCTCGGCTCATTGTTAATACTCGAATCTCCACTCATTGGGGTTAATGTTGATGGCACTTTGACAGGGACGATGATGATGAATGCCAGCGGCGATGATGCCAGATGACAGAGGTGAGTGCGATGGATTTAATTAATAAGCATATTTAGGGAAAGCTTTCTTTTGCAGAGCTAAAAAATAACAACAAAATTTCTTAAGCTTAAAAGGTTAGAGAACTTCTAAACTTTTTAATGTTTGTTTAATCATGTTATATAGGCGAATAGAAAACTTTTGATTGAGAAATGTTATAAGCTTTATAAAAGTAAGTTTTTAAAATTGTTTACAAAATGAAGAAACATGTTTTTAGGTCTAATATGTAACATACCATCTGAAAGGAGTTTTTATCATAACCCCTTGCAAACTCATCGATCTGTCAGTGAACTTTTCGCCTTACTATCCCACAGCAGCGAATATCTCAATCTGTGTCGCTTTTTGCGTTTTAAGTTACCTCAGCTGAAGTGTGAAATTTGCTTAGCTAACCCGGGGATCAGGGTCCCAGCTCGAAGTTAGGGACAAGATGGGCCCCTGGGGCACGGGCATGGACCCGAGTTAATTCGAGGCCCAAAAGATAGGTAGCCGGGCGAAATGGCAACGAGCCGTGGCCATTTCCACTTGGTAACGGTAAGCGAGGGAAATTCAGCACGCACGACACACAAAATGTGCGGCGGAGTGGGACCAGGAGCGGGAAAATAGCAAAATAGGCAACTGTGTGACCATAACTTATGCGCAAATGATTCGATTTGGAGGCGTACGAAATGCAGATACCCCGTGCAGAGCTACCCAATAATCGCCCGTCTCTCTACCGAAGAAGCTGTGAAAGTTCCCCAGCGACTTGCGACTTGAATGCCACCTACCCGTCGTCGGTAGCCAGAGATGGCTCCATAAACAAAAAAAAACGAAAAAAGAAAAAAACTGACCACGTAGGCGGCACACGGATGCCGATGTGTAATTTTTGTGAATTTATTTTATTTGGCAACCGTGGAGCTCAATCCATGCACTGAGGAAAACAAAAGCACTTCGACTTAACTACTTATAACAAAATTTAATAATTTTAAATTTAATTAAATTTT